TAAAGCAAGCCTCTTAGCCCATGCATAAATTACACACATCATTTACATATTCATTATGTTTTGTGTACTAATGAGAATATTTGCTTAATAGCCCCACCACCACAGCCAGCTTTTGATTTCAGTCGAACAAATAGGCGAGTCGGGTCATATTGGTAAAGCAGATGAGGTCAATGATACTTAATCGATTTCTACTGTGGATGGGATCAATTGTATGGCTTTAGTTTGTGTGTTGAACAAAATGAGCCACTACCAAAGTGTAAAGGCGCGCTTGATGGGGGCTGGTGAAAGTTAATTAAATCAACATAAGCATTCAAACTCTGACTTCTTTCTCCTTTTGTCTCAGTGGAATAACTTACTGCTTTAGTAATTACTTGCACGGCTGGCACTACCAGCACTCCTTCAGGTGCAGTAAAATCTCAAACAGAGCATGAAAAATTAAGGCTTAAGACATAATTTCTAACATTCACAGTGTTAATGATTCATAATATGTATGAATTTAACGAAGGGAAGGGAGAAAAAACCCAGAAACGGGGGAAGGGCAATGAAGAGATGAGCTACAAATAGGAACGATGGCGGTGGCAGGTTGGCACCGTGCCATCCAGTCAGCTATTGAGCGGGGGCAGGCATGGGCATGGGCGAAAGGGGCGCAGAGAATAAGAATGGAAGAGGAAGAGAAGCGCACCGTCATACTGCTGCCCCGATGCCACCTTCACTGGCACAGCGGAATTAGCAGAGGGAAAACATAGAGGAAGTCGATAGCGAAGCAGCCAAGTCCGACAGACGCCAACACACGGAGGGTGAGTCAGATGAAGCTGGTGCACAAATTGATGCGAGAGCTTTAACGGCAAATCATAACGTTTAACTTTTGGATCTTTTTTTCGCCCTATGCCACTTGCCGTGTGCCATCCAGCGGGCATCATGCCAGCTTGTTCTACTCGAAGTGAAGACGGCAAATACACAAAGACCTGTCGAACACAAGAACTTCAGCCTACAGGATTTGTATACAAGAACCTCTGCCCTCAGGATTTGTTGCTAATCACCGCTTGTTTGGATAAAGCCAATACGATGTGCCCATGCACCTGACATAGTCGCGATGGCATAGTCGCAGTGGCTGCAAAAGCACAACGAAACAGATGGCGCTCTGCCAAGCCAGCTAATCACATGTGCCAACAAAACCACCATAAGGTGAGCAGAAGATTTCACATGTCGTAAATGTTTTGCACGATGGCAACCCCTGAAGGGACCATTTGGAAACAGAGATGGCACCATGCCAAACGCCAACCTGGAGATGTTCGCGGGCGCTAAGTAAGCTAAATCGAAAAGCAAGCTAAATCGAAGTGGAGTAAATGTTGATGTGAAAAAGTAACCAAATAATGGACAAACAAATTCATGTACTCTCTGGGATAGATACATGATGATGTCCTAAAGTCAAAAACAGTAAAGGAAGCCACTGTTCTGCCAAGGAATGGTATAGGTCCGTTCCATTGTAGTGTTTAAAAATGTATAAATCATGTAGCAGATAAATGTAGGGCAGTGAAACAGGAAACACCTTGAGCCTAATGAAGAACAGTAGGAGTGGGTGAAGAATGAGCATCCCTTTTTCTGAACGTGCACACCTGGGATGTTCTTAAAGGGATACTCCCTCAGCATGCTCTGACTGCTAACAGGAGGGATGTGCTGGCATCATCTCAGGATATGTCAGCTTGTGTTTTGCCTTTGCCAGTCAGGGTGGTGCTGCAGCCACCAGGGCGGGCGACTGTCTGGGCATCAACTGCGTCTAATTAACAGCCCCAGACTCATTCTAACAGCCGATCATAATTAGTGATTTAATCGCTCGTCAACGCTTTCTCTCCCCCTTTTAAAATGCACCTCCTCTTTGGACACGTGCGGATAAGCTAAAGGAACGCTGGAGTTCCCCCTCCCCTCGTCCTCATCCTTCTTGGCTTCAGACTCCGGAGGGATCTTAATTAAGCCTGGGCTTCATTATGCAAATGGAGTACAATAAACGACAGCAGAGGCGGAGCTTCAGCCAGACGCACACCAAGCCAAAGACCCTGGAAAATGTAAAAAGCAGAAGACTACTGGATCTCTGTGATGTTTTTTTGCACTACAGTAATTGTATACTTTTGTCTGATGTATGTCTTTGGGTGTACACTGGTGCTACTACAACTAATCATGTGTTCCCTATCTCTGCTTCCACTGGAGGAAACTGGATGTGCAGGATTTCTCCTCACAAAGAAAACTCATAAGGGACCAGTGACAATGAGCCCCTTAATATCACCAGTTGGCCGTTGTCGTGGATACGTGGAGAGATGGTTGAGATAGGATAAGAGAAAGAAGGCAGACGGAAACACTGACAGTGGCAGCAGCATGGCAGCTAATGTCATCTCAGTTTAATCATCGCATGGGATCATGGGGTTCATGAAAATTCATTTGCATATCATTAAACGGAGAGAGGTTATTTTGTGCGGGCAGCCGAAATGGGATTGGATGAAGACGAGAGGAAAAAACGGCAAATGGAGGAGCTCGTTATTAAACAGCAATGTTTTATAGTCTGCCAGCCGATTCATTTAATTTAGGCATAATTAAAATGTGTCAGACCCAATCAATCATTCCAACAGGGATACTATCAATGTTTCAGACTGGAAAAACACTAATCTTTAGATATAGGGGCAGACATTTTCCAATAACAGCCTAAGTGCTCAAGTCTTCAGTGAGCTTGACCTGTCCACTCTTTATCTGGAAGAGATTGATCAAAACATCCATTGTGGCGCAACATGTATTGTGTCAGGATACATTGCATTTTGACAGGTGGTGCGTTTGCTAGTAAGGGCCCACACCACACCTTTTTGACCTTATTGTAAGTGTTAGTGTGTATGTGTGTGCATTCAAACATGCATCCCACATTTGCATAAGTGATGTAATTAGACCGCCCTTTCACATGCAGATCAATTTGAAAACATGGCAATCACACTAACACACACGTACAGGCGTGCACACAAACACACGTCAGCCACACGTTTTGTGCCGTGACCACCCCCGGATCATGAAGAGTCTGTTGTCTGTGAGCAGAGAGTGTAAAGATTAACATAATCCAGCTAATAAGTGTGAGTAATATTCACACAGCGACGCGTGGCATAGACACTGTCCTGCTGATGCGCATTTGTATCTCATTATAGATGTAAAGTACTGAAGGGGGGCTGACTGAGGGGTGCCACGGTTCAGGAGGGAGGATCAGGGGCTCCCCAAGAGTGGACTTCCAAAATAGACACCAAAAAATAACATACACTACTTTCATGCAATTATAGCGTGAACCTGAGTGATCCAGAGTGTGCTGTTTTCTTACTGCTCCTTATCACAAGTTGTACCCCTGGATCGTCACACAGGAAGGCATTCTAATGTTTGCTTCTGCTCATTTACAGTAGATAATGGCAGCAGCTACAGAGAGCGTCCTTTTTCCTGTAGAATGTAGGAATTATAAATTGAGTGTATTTGGGCTTGCAGGCGAGCTCTGCTACATGATTGATTAGGATGGTGTGACGACCATTAAAAAGTCATTTAAAAGATGGATAGGGACCACATTTCCAAATAAAAACCACTTTATACCTGATGAAGTGCTGAACAAACTCTCCTTAGAAGACATTTACTGATTACTCTCCATGTGACTGAGTGTAATGTGGAAAGTATCTACATGTAACGAGTGGAGCCCACATTAATTGCATAAGATAGTGAATGCATAGTAAAGGATTAATTATTAGAATGCATGCTGTATTAAGAAGGTAGAAATTGTAAGAAAGAATTATTGTTGTCTCGGTACACTAGCAAACAGAGAACACAAATACTGATTGAAATGTATCAGATAGCGTGGCGTTGCTGCTTCAGAAGCCTTATCCACAGAAGCAGAGCTGTATCTAAACGTGCAAATGTATTTCTGTTCTGTGTCTTTAATGCCTGGCTCCTCCACAGCAGCGTGCTTGCAGATTCATGCATAAACATGAGCTGGCCTTTCGGCTCTCTCCTCACATAACCAATCTAAATCTAAATGAGCCCCCACTACAGATAGACCAGCAGGCAATGACATTACACCCCCCTCCGCCCGGCCCAACCCCCTCTCCTCCAGCCCGCTACCCCCAGCGACACATATTCACCAGCAGGCAATCATTTCACGCCATCCCTCAAAGCCCCACCTTCTCCCCCCGCGCGGCCACTCGTACCCCCTTTTTGCCGCAACCCCACCAGCTGCACAGCATTCATTTGATTAAGAGGGGGAGGACAGGGAGAAGGAGAAAAGCTGGGGGATCACTTTATCAGGATGACTTTCTAAGATGGCTATCACAAGCTACCAAGCCATCTCAAGTTGTTTATTTGCCTTTTCCGTTATGCAGTTTGTATGTTAAGCTTTAATTCATTTGTACCAAAGTAGAACTAACCTTTGCAGTTACTGCAAATTACAGCACCATAGTTAAAGTGAAAAAACAAGTGAAAACGAGATGCTACCTCATCCTCTCAAAAAAGTCAGTTTACATAAGTTTTTGCCTGTTGGAAGTTACATTCTTTACAAAAAATAATAAACAAATTCTCCAGGCACAAAGATTGATCTCTCAAGTATACATTGTATATGAAAATGTGAGTGTCCTAAATGTGCTGTGGTGTGCATTTTAGTCCCCTTAGTCCCAGAGTCGTAAAACACATTATCATCATCAGCAGCAGCAGGAGCAGCAGCGTAATTCATCCAAGGTCGTTAATATTCATCATATCATTTAGTCACAAAGGAAACTCATCTGGCTGAATGTCACAGATGTAATTAATGAAGTGACCCCAGAGGTCATGGCTCCATTCACCAAGCGCCTTCCACACATCGCTGTTACACTTATCAGAGGTACACACACACAGACCCCCACACCACCTACAATATGAAACGCGTGCATAATACCCCATGCATACCATAACACAAAATGGCTCCTTCTGGGTAAGACATGAGACCAGAACATGCACCAAAGCAGACTTTATTAAGCTCAGTGGAGTTTGGGGAAGGGAACAGGGTGGTAACACACAGCATAGGTAAGAACTGGGCAAGGGACAGTATAGAGACACACTAAACCACTGGAGCAAGACGTTAGGACAGGTGCACATCACGGGTATCTTTTTGGTCATCACTATGGCAACAACATATCCAGAAAATAAAGAAAAATAATAGTTTTACCTACAGCAAGGTTAACAGAGCCCCTTCACCATAGAGGACCCCAATATGTACATCTTACAGTCACTAAGATCAAGAGAAGTTAAGAGAAATGAAACCCAAAGTAATCAGCATATAAAACTGTCTTTGCGGTATTTGGAATGCACATTTCTGCACAGAAGAAAGCTCATTGGTATTGACGTAAACATTGGTTAGTTAGAAAAACAAAAACTCGACAAAAGTGAAGTCAGTCCACATGCTTTGGGAAGTGGGTTGTGAAGTCCAGTCGTTGCATTGTAGCTCGATGGACAAATAGACTAGACATTACACAACACAGAGAGACTGACACTATACCAAGTGGAGGTTCTAGGGGCTGAACTCCTTCAAAAAGCTATGCAGTATCTCTCTAAGCACTGAGAAGGTAATGCCCCAGTAGCATAGGGTTACTCTGTAATCTGGAAGCCTCTATGTTTGATGAAAAAATAAAAAAAAATAAAAACATGTATCGTGAAAGCCATTTTGTAATAAATATGAAGATACTGACAAACTTGTTGGAATTGAGCCCCACATATCCATTTTCCAATAGTATTACAGGAGCAAGTTTAATCAACAGCATCACAGGTATCATTACAGTTTGTAGTCATTAAAGCCTAGTGGTAAAGCGATCAGAGCATGCATCTATCTACAGTATCATATTAGAAACTACAGTACATTAGCAGCAAACTGGACATCCTTAAGGGCTGAAGTTCAACACTATGGTTTTTTAAAAAAACAAACAAACAAACAAACAAACAAAATAAACTTTCTTAAGAGAAGTAAAACTCTTTAACCGCTATACAGACTGCCATGGCTCTAGGTTGGGATTTTGGTTACAGTCACCAGTGTGCTTATGAGAGGCAGAAAAACAGTAGCTTAGATATAGGGACTCCTTTCCTTTTCTTTAAAAACAGCAATACATCGTCAAGTAAACAGTAGCGCTTATTCTTGTAGGTCATATGGTTAAAGTATTATCTTGTCTTTGGATTTTTGTCTTAAAGCATTAATTATTGTTTAGCTATTATTGTTATATTATTATTACAGTCAGAATAAGTTGCAAATGAACACAGTAGTAAAGGTTAAGAGTAAACAAAAATAAGAAGGCAGGTAGGGAGGAAGAATAAATTAAGTTTACAAAAATAACATCAGTAACATCCAAAGTTGGTTTGTTTTTTCCCATCGGCTTTGCGCAGCAGCTCCTAAAACTGTAAACAGGAAAGGGAGCCAAGTCTCAAACATCCAATTAAGTCTTGAGTCAGCCATACAAAAGCTAAATACTGTACATTTACCCCTCACATCATTAAACACTTTAGTTTTAATATGTAACAATCTATTACTCAGTGTGAAAAGCTCAGATCTTTGAAATGCAGGTCTTTTTGGGAAATATTGTTAATACTTAACCATGCACCTTTTGTTTTTTAAAAGGTATGGTGTTAAAGTCACATTGGAAGTGGAGCAACGTTGAGCTGTTAACCTGAGCATAGAAAGCTTTACATTAATCACATAACATTGGTAAGCCATTGGTATATTCAAATAGAGTGGAAAGGCAGTTACGTCACCTCTCCTGAACATATCAAAGCTGTCTTTTTCATAACCGTGACACTATAATATCGAAGCAAGACAGTTTATCTCGACCCATAAGATTTTATATTAAGAAACTATTACTAAACACACACAATGTCAATTTGAGTTTGGTTAAAGTTTCCATATACAGTATTAATGGTTGAGTGCTATAAAAATAGTCTGCCCCACTGAGGACAAACTGGCCTTTTGCTTTCTGTGCTATTTGGGTTGTTATCCACTAAAGGAACATAGAAGGTGTACAACAGAAGACTCATCATTGGCTTGTGGAAGGGCGAAGCTGGAGGTTTGCACCGTAGTATCAGTCTTTTTCTACGAATGTATACCAATGCCAGCAGCAGGTCCCATCCTTTCACCTTACAGACGTCAGCTCTGCGGTTCATTATTGAAAAAACAAGCACGTTCAAACTAAATCCACAGACATGTAAAATTTTGGTTATGAGCTTTGGAATCTGAGTCAGTCTTTACAAAAGCTCTATGCAAATACCGCCATCTAAGATATTATTTGTTTTTTCACTTTTTTGTCCTTTGACTTTTTTCAAGTTTATCTTTTGGAGTACTCTATTTACACTAAAATCTCTTTGACAATTTTTTGTGTAGACTGGCGCTACATGCTACACAACAAGTCATCTAGCACTGTCTGGTGGAGGGCCCAATGTGAGTCTGGCATGCAGACTGAGAGGTAGACTGCAGGTCTAGCTGGGCAGTGAGGTCACGTACTTGGAGAATGCTCTTTGGCCTCTGTGGCATCTGGTTATTTTTCATCAAGATGGTGTTTGGTTGTAATAGAAGCTATTTTCAACACTGAAGGACAGACCAGCAATGGGTTAAAGTACAATGGATATGTGTAAAGTAATGGTAGCGAAGACTTGGTTTGGACTCTTCAATTCACATGGAAGAGTTTCTCTTTGGGCCGCTATGGCTCTGGATCTTTGGGGTGTTCAGGTTGGCAGCAAGGTGGACAGTTTATGGTAGCAGATGAACATTAAGTGCAGGAAGGTTTAAAGGAGTAAAGGAGACCACTGGAGAAATAAGGAGTACAGCACATTTCAGGCTCTATCCCGCTCCCCGGCCCCGGCACTAAGCTCTGCCTCTCGCTCCACAGAGTCAGAACTCATGCTGCGGGCTCTCTTCTCCTTTGCCCGGGCATTCTGGAACCACACCTGCAACATAAAGGGGAAAAGAGGGAATTCAGACCTTTAAGTATGTATAATGTATTAATACAGGCCACAATCCCATTTGGAAAAATGCCACATCAATTAAAATCAAGAGAGATGCATTCTCTGTGGGTGTATAATTTCAGGTGAGTATTAGGTAATACACTGCATAAACCATTTGATTCATATTGTTTTACAATATATTCAAAGACCACCTCTTACAAAATATGTTTTCATTAAAATATTTTTCTCATGCATTTGTTGATGTTTACCTGCACAACCCGGTGAGGCAGTCCTAGTTCCTGGCCTAACGCCTCACACTCCTGCCGGTTTGGTGTTCGGTGGGTCCTGTAGAAGTCTCGGAGCTGGAGAATCTGGAAGTGGCTCATCTGTGTCCTTTGGCGCTGCTGCTGTGAATGTTGGTAGTTCTGCTGCAAATTTGGTGTCTCACCCCAATCTGAACTGGGCCCGCCGGATCCCTCGGGACTCGAAGACGCCAGATCGGCCATACTGGAGCTCTCCTCGCACGGGTACTCATCCTCTTCCTCCTCATAGTCGTCATCCTCGTCTGGATTGTTGAGATCAGTTGTAATGGACAAGGATGACATAGGGGGTCTAGCATTTGGTTCTTTGTTTACTGGAAAACCAGGGTGTGTAAGATGGCTGGAGGAGATCGATGGGCCAGGTCTGTCCATGACAGAGGACGTGGCTATCTGCCCACTGGATCCATTGCTTATTGACAAGTTAAAGCCTGCTCTTTCAGCTTCAGCCCAGTGGCGAGATCGCATATGGGCATCTAAGGCGCTTTTTACTTTGAAGAGGGCTCTACAAAATGGGCAGCGCAAGTGGTTTAAACCCAAACTGAAGGTGGACCCTGGACCCATTGACCGGAACTGTCCTTTTCTTTCTCTGGCTCTTGTGTTCTGAAACCAGACCTGTAAAGACATGAAACTTTAATTTTGTAATACATTATTTATTACTCACTTATTCAGTCCAGTTTGACCAATGTACTTTAATGTTTTCATTATTGTTTACTCTGTTTTATAAGGATTACAAAATTATAGCTCATCTTAAAGCCGCACATTGCAATAGTATAATATCAAAATATGTGGCATATTTTAAGTGTAAAATAATTTACCTGAACAACTCGTCTTGTAAGGCCCACATCTCGTGCAATGCTTTCCAGGACTCCTCTGGTGGGGTTGGAGTCCATGCTGTAGCGCTGGTATAACACCTCTAGTTGTTCTGGGGTGATGGTTGTTCTCTGGCGCTTGTCTCGTCTGTGTTCCTCTTCCACATCTTTACCACTCCTTTGAGATTCAAAGCTGGCTTCTGCCATAAGCTTTGAATTCTGTTTCAGTGATGCAAGAGCATTTTGTGAAAGGCTTCCAGAGTGATCAGGCAAAGTATTCTTCATTTGTAAGCTGTTCAAATGTGAAATCATTGGATGTGGGGCATTTGGGTGTAACTGAGACATAGTGCCTGAAAGCATTTGGTTGGCCATTAAGGTGTGGTTCGGATGGAGCATCATGTAAGGCATTGTTCGGTCTGTAAAGCCAGAGTGGAGTAACTGAACTTGGGACTGAGCAGCCAGCAGGTGCCTAGCTTGGTGCTCTTGCCACAGTTGGAATGATGGCAAAGACATTGGACAAAAAGTACATTGAAACTGCGCTGTAGGGAGAGGCTGGGAAGTACTTTGCTGCTTTGTTTCAACAGTTAAGCTGGACAGGGTGCCCCTATCCTCAGATTCAGATGGTTTACTAACAGCAGAACGTTCAGCAGCTGGAGAATTTGTACTCTCTTTTCTGGAGTCAGACACAGGTGCTGTTTTTTGGGAAGAAGACCATGGCTGTTCTCTGTCTTGAGTCCCTTCACCTTTTTCAGATAATGAAGTGTGCATACCATCTATGTTTTTTACACCCTCATCTACATTCTTTGTTGTTTTGTTATCATTTCCCAAATTAGCTTTATCATCTAGTATCTTTTTAACTGATTCGATAGTATGAGCAGAGGACTCTGGAGTAGGTGACTCTGGGTTCGTATAGTATTCATAAGTCAAATCCATTGAGTTTTCATTATGACTGTCCCCTTGTCCATCCATGCATCTGCTCTCCTCTTCATCATTGTTCATATTGAAGCCATTACTCTGAGTGTGAATGTTGTCAAACTGGCTCTTATTCTCACCCCCAAAACTTTCCTCATTCCCTCTGTCTTGGTTCTTGCGGGCTCTTTGTCTGGCATTCTGGAACCATACTACAATGACTCTGTTAGGCAGAGACAACAGAGCAGACAGCCTTTCATATTCCTCCTCTCTGGGGTAAGGAGTGGCCTCAAACACACCCTGGAGAGTCTCAAGTTGTTGCTCTGTAAAGCGGGTTCGAGAAGAGCGCCTGCCTCGGTGGAGTTCCCTTGGGAGGTCCACAGGCTGGGGCTGAGTGGTCACAGAAGTGAGGGCTGGGGACATAGTCGATGGAGATACTGACAAAGACTGACTCTGTGCTTCTTCCTCTCTGCCTTCCTCTAAAGCTGTGGTTGGGGGATTATTAAAATTGTAAGGAGAGTCTTTGTCTCTCTGTCTTTCTTTAAATAACGTGTTGCGGAACCAGTGTTTGATGACTTTGTGAGGCAGTCCAGATGTGACAGACATTTTGTTGATCTCTTCATCACTGGGGAGGCTGTTAATATCAAAGTGTTTCCTCAGAATTGCAAGCTGCTCCTCGGAGATCCTTGTCCGGGTTCGTTTACCCTGTTGTTCAAGTATAGATGGACTCATTTGGGGTTGCTGCCCTGCTGGGACGGGGCTTGGCTGGGATGTCTGACCTAATAGAGGAGTGTTAAGCTGTGGAGGCTGTGCAAGTAAAGCTGGACTCAGAGGGGACTGCTGAGCTAATAAAGCAGGGCTGGACTGCGGCTGCTGCCCTAAAAGTGCTGGATTTAGCTGGGACTGGTACAGTTTTGTTAGATCAGGGTTTGCATTTGAATCAAGCCAGGGTTGGGGCTGCAGGGCGACAGACTGCATGACAACTGGGGGAAGAAGTGGCAACTCCATGGTGAAAGGGATAGGGGGCATTGGAAGCTTGGACAAAGGCAGGGGAGGTATCTGAAGCTGAGGCAGTGGCAGGGGAAGCATAGGTATCTTAGGTAATGAAAGAGGCATGGTCTTCGGCTGGGTTGTCCCAGAAGTGCTTGGTGTTGTTGCTTCTTCCTGTTGTGATAAGGCTGGAGCTTTTGGAGAGGGTGGAGAAGAAGAAGAAGCAGTTGATGTTGTTTTCACATCAGAAGGTGAAGTGCTTGTTTGTTTGGGAGGTTCAGATGCTGTGGGTGACTCTGAGGATGCACAAGGTTTCATTTGTGCTTTTAATTCTTCTGCTACAGATTCTGGTTCTTCATTTGTTGACTTTGCTGTACTTGTGGTGGTTACAGTTGAACTCTCTGTAGATTTAGCTTGTGTGATGGGGTACATCTGGTCATATTGGGATCTATACTCTTTTGAAAATTTCTCTAGAGCAGATGTGGGGAATAACATTCTATGAATGTATTCTTGGTGGCTTTTCAAAATAAGTGCATCTGAAAAGAACTTGCCACAATCTTTACACTTTTTTCCATCACCACAACACGTCTTTTCTTTCTTTTCATCTTCAGGTTTGTTCCCATTCATCTCCATTTGTAAACTTTGGGCCTCTACTTTTTTAATCTCCATTTTATTGCAAACCTCTGACTGCCCATCTTCTTCCTCAGCAATATCTCCATTTTCCTGTTTAAAGCAAGCTTCTAATTGTTCAGTGCACTTTTGTTTGTCTTGAATGAACGGACTCTGCTGCTGGTGTCTGTGCCTACTTTGTATGTACTGCAGCGCCAGCTCATACCCATAACTCTGCAGTAGTGCTCTAAGAGGCTCACCGTTTACAGCAGCGTAGGGGACTCTGGGAGGAGGGCACTGCTGTCCAAGGAGATTAATAGGAGATACATTTACTTCCTGTTTCTGGCTCTCATTTTTCACTGGGAGAAGAAGCACTTCTTCTTTATCTACCTCAGAAATTCTAGGTTCTTTTTTAGTCTTAACAAAGGTGGGATCACTGACGCTTTCTTCACCGTTAGCCTCACACTTCTCATTTTGTTGGTACACTGTCTCGTCTGAACTTTCATTTTGGGTTTGTTTGTCAGTTGTTTGGGGAGATGACTCATTTTTCTCCACTGTCTTACTACTTTCTTTTAATATAGAGTTTGTAAAGTCAAACTGGCTAAGATCAGGGATTTTGCCAGCAAGTTCAGAGTTAAGCTTAATGTCTCCTGCTAAGTAAAAGGGCAGGAGAAGCTGTTGCTGTAGCGAGAGCAAGTTATCTGCAGCCACAGGAAAGTGATGCTTAAGGAGATTATCTAGTCCCATAGGCAGATGATGCATCACTTGGGACTGCAGTAGCGCTGTTTGCTGCTGTAAGTGAGCTTGGGCCTGAGCCTGGGCTAACTGCTGCTGCTGTAAAAGCATTAGCTGGTTCCTCGATGCTAGCAGCTCTGCTACTCTCTTTTTAGCCTGCTGGCACTCAGAATTAACAAGGGCTGACTGGCCCTCAGCGGCCAAACTGTTGCCTAGTAATGAAGAGGCTGAGGAGCTTGCAGCATCTGATCTCTTTGTTAAAGCAGAACCCTTAGATGGTTCTTCTCTAGCCTGAGTAGAGGAGGTTGGAGCACTTGCAGAGGTGTTTTGGGCGGCGCGGGCTCTGGTTTGGTGAAGAACAGAGCGAAGATGTATGTCTAGTGTGGAACTTTGACTGTAGCCGACTCCACACAGTTTACAGCGGTAGGGCCTAGGATCTGGTCCACGAGGGGTCTCAGTGGTAGTAGTACTGCCTGAACTGGAGTCTTGGAGGGCTCGCCTGGCTCGGTGGAGATGGGAAACAGAGTTAAAGTGCACCAATAAAATGGTTTTCTGAGTGAAAGACTCTGAACATATTGTGCATTTGTAGGGCCTCGATGGATCTAAATAGCGATCTAAGGTGGGATTTGAACTCTTTTTGATAAGAGAGTTAGAAGTGACCTCAGTGAAAGTGGGCTCAGTTGTGGTCTCCTCATGTTTCTCCATATCTGTTAAACCTTCTTCTTCAACCTCACCCACCATTTCCTTGAATTTATCTTTTTTCTGGCTTTCTAAGGCTTCCTCTTCCTCCACCTCCTCATCCTCACCCTCTCCCGCTTCTTGTCCAATTTGAGGTGACAGGCTGAAGTCCTGCTGAACGGCACTCTTGTTATGCTCCATGTAGTGCGCAGTATGGGGTAGTAAATGTGTGTTCTGCGCCTGTGAGTTGTCCAGCTGTTGCCCGGAGTGTGTGTTCTGCATATGTCGCTGCAGGGCCTCCTGACTGCGACATTGTCTGGAACACAGGGGGCACTCTGTCGCCGCCCTCATGGCATGGTATTGCCAGTGCAGCTGCAGCTTCTCCTGAGTAGGAAACGCTAGGCTGCACCTGCTGCAGCGAAAACGGTAACCATGGCGATCTGTGAGAGGAGGGGGGTCGCTGGATGGAGACGTAGGCGGAGAGGAGGGGGACTGAGGAGCCACTTTGCCGTTGGAGGGGTGAGTGGTGTTGTCTTCTAGGGGTGGGGTGAGCAGAGCTGTGACATCTTTGGGTGCGGCAACTTCACTTTCAGTGGTTTCTGTAGAGATGCCTGAAAAATAGATAAATGATATGTTCACTTCTTGAGTGTTCTACGTTTCTTGAGTTTTTTACAATTTCATTCACAGAATGCAGCAAAAAATTATGCACTTAAATTTTGGTTAAAAAAAATTAAAATAGGGTTACCCTCAATACAGTATGAAACTATTCCATAAAAATGTCTATTGTGGTGCACATAATAATATTCTGGTTTAGACCAATTTTATTTGAAGTGGTTTAAACGTGACTACATTAGACTGCCCATGGCCCTTATTATGAGTTTGGCCAGTATTAATTGACAATATTAATTGGTCAATACTGAGAAGGTGCTGATATCAAGGAGAATGTATGTCATCTATTTCTTTAAATGTATTATGAATTATCTTTTCATCTATATGTATTATATTATTGTATAGAATGTGATATGCATTCATTTAAGTACATTTAATTATGTATTTGAACAGAATTGAGGTTTACATCCGACCTCCATAACACTAGGATCTAGATCTATAAATAATGCTTTTTCCATCAAAATATATACCAACCATTTTTCTGTGCATCAGCAGAAGCAATAGCGTCCATAGTTTTTGCATGACTAGTCTTCCCATTTTTCATTTTGTGTTCATCTGTACAAGAGGCAGGCAAGGATTCCACCTTTGAGTGAAACGCCAGTTCTTCCACCGGTGGAGTTACCTAAAAGAAGGAAAACATTAGTTATTCAACATTTTCTTAATTCAACTGCGTGAATAAAACATGTTCACTTGTACTGCAAACAAGCCGACTTATAAACAGCGGGCGCCTGTTTCCTTCACTAATAAAAGATTCAAGTATGAATTTGTAATGTACATCTTGCACCTGCCACTACACCCTGATATGAAGCTAAAAAAATGCATTAATTTGGTAATAAGTGTATATAGTGGTGATATGTGGGACTACCATCTCCTCCTGCGACACCCTCCAACATGCCCCAAGGGTTTAATAAAACTTTACTGAGCTGAATAATGAATTTATTTAAAATCATCCCTCTCCTTATAGAAACCCTCCATCTTGGTAGCTTCAAGCACTCGGAGCAAATGCTATATCTTTGCGAACAACTAGCTAGCCCAAGGAAAGGGACAGGCGGCTAAAGATGAGATTTACATGACAAGAGTTTTTTCTAACAGATTCATAAGAACGAATGAGAATGTGCACCCACACTCATCCACGCGCACGCTGCAGAGAAAACTGAAGGTCAGGCTTAATCTAGAGAGCGTAATTGGAAAGCAAGGTACATAATGGCCATCATCACCTCAGTCTGAATTAATGAACCTCAATTACTATCAGAGAGAGTGAGGGGAGGCAGGACCATGGTGGTGGGTGGGGGGCGTCCAATATGAAAAAAAGAGTGGAGGGAGGGAGGAGGACATAAGGGGCAACGAATTAAAAAAAACTGCATTGGAGAGACAGGGGAATGAGTACGGGAGGGGTAGAGCATAAGAAACAAGGAGGGGTGGAGAGGAGTAAGACCGGACGGGGAGGGGCTTGAGGACGGTGGGTCGCAGAATAGGAATGATAGAAGGAGCTGGAGGGGGGAGGAAGGAGGGGAGGCAGGGGGGGAGTGGAGGGGAGTAAAGGGTGAAAAGCAGTCAGTGAAGTGGAGGCGAAGAGCGCGTGAGACAAAGGCCACTTAGCATACGGGCCAGCGAGATGGAGGACGCTGATGTGGATAGATGACCAGTCTTTGTTAGTTGGAGAGACATAGTAAAAAGCATGAGGGGGGGGGCTTTTTAGCTTGACTGCACTTCTGGTAATAGAGGGCTACTTAAACATGCATTATAGAAAGACTGGCTTTTTCCCTCACTCGCTCAGTCAAACCCTCTCCTCCACTCTTAAGGAGCACACACACACAAGCACACACACTAACACCAAACGGACGGCTGCATCAAAGATGATAGCGGGGAGCTACTTAAACATGCATTAAAAAAAGCCATGCCTTTCTCTCTGGTGCCTTCTTAATGGAATTGTCTCCCAACATTTCACTTGGCCCCATCCCCCACTGCTTTTGCTTCTCATTTTCTATTTTGCATCCAGACAAACGCACATACAGCAAAAAGCTCAGGTAGACTTACAGTGCTGATGAGCTTGTCAACACAGTCCTGTGCCACACTGTGCACATGAGTGAGGTGTTGGCGAATATTAGCGTAAGGGACTTTGAGCTGGCACAAGGGGCACTGGACAGTCTGAGGGGAGAGAACACAGGTTAAACTATGGAGAATAATATTGCCTTATGATAATAAATACAAATGCACACATACATTCTTATTAAAACTAACTAAAATAAATATATTTTGTGTGTAAAAGGCATACCTGCTGGTTTTCATTTTGCTGGTGTGTTTTGGGCCGTTTATTTGAGATGGCGCCATCTGTTTCTGTGCATTCAGAGAATGAGCGCTTTAATTCTCCCTTTTCTTGTTCTTTTCTTCCATTTTCTATTAAAATGAATGAAAATTGTAAACAACACCATCATGTACACTCTTCAGGGTCATCATTTTAATACAGGATTATCAGATATATTTAGAAAATTCCTTAAAATTGGCCAGTGTTTTTAATCTGGAGATAAATTATTTATTTATTATCGTATGTGATGCCTACCATTATCTGTAGAAACTAGGTTTGACCCCGTGTTGCTTGTGTCTTTGGTTTGGTCCAGAAGACCAATTTGAAGCTCACTGGTAGTGTCCATGTCATCGCTGAGCTCTTCTGGGGGTTAAAAAATGACAAATAGTTATGTTATGCTTGAGTACTGCATCGTAACATACATCCTTTCTAACGAACTCCCTCAGTCAGGCCAGTGTCTCAGACCACACTCACTGGCCTTTATTGATCAATTATTGATTCTCTATTAACTTCTCTTAAGAGGCGGGGTAGTGGCAACATGACCAGAGAGCATCAGCTTCTCTTAATAAGCCTTAAACAACACAAATACAAATGAAAGGACTTAATTTAGACAGCGGTGCTTGTAGTTTAAAGCTATGCTAAATATATTAATGAATATGAAGTAATAATACATCTTTGGAACATCTTAGTGGACTACACTCACCCATGCATATCCAGGGGATTTGTATTGGCCCATTGATTAGCAGGTGCTAGTTAGCTGTTGTCAGGGGTGATTGGGGATATAACAAGGATGTATATCGACTAATCAATTTGCCTGATCAATATTTGAGCAACAGCCATTACTCATGTTCTCACTCTTTTCATCTTAATCCCTGGGCCACTCTCTTGATGTCACCAAACACATGCCAGACAAAATCGCATCACGCTGCGCGACTGAGCGGCTCACCTGTGACTCCATCTGTGTTTTTCCTGATGGTGAAAATGGCTGCCAGCTCCTCGCCCCCCATTGGCTGCAGCTGGATTAGCCCTTCCCTCTGCTGATGGGTTGGGGTTTGACTGTGTTTGAGTACTTGAATTTTAGATGAGCAAGAGTGGTTGCATAGGAGACAATGGAAGAGCCATGAGCCTCCGTCAACCTCGCCGTCATACTGTTGCAAAAACTGAAAAGAGATGAGAGAAAAATTGACGGTTGTTAATGGAAGGAAGGATTATTTGGTCTTGCTTTGACAGACAGACTGATAGTTTCAAAGAGAGTGCAATTCCAAGTAGAATAAATGTGTATCTTATTTGTTGATTTCTGATACTTAAATTTGAAAATAGGTTTTCCCAAATTAATTAAATTAATTTCAATAGTCAGTGTTAATGTCACTACAGTATTTTCAAATGTTTGCATCTTTAAGCAGTCAAATATATAACAATGAAATTCTGTCTGTGATACACAAAGTAGTGAAATACTATTTCCCCCCCTTGTGCACGTACTCTGTAGACGCGGATGCCAGCTTTGTGTTGTGCACTGAGCGAGTGGCCACGGAGCTTCTCCAGACTGCTGCTTACATAGTCGCACAGGTTGCATCTCAGTTGGACTGGATTCCCTTTAGCAATCAGGGCAGCACCTTCTTGACCTCTGTCTCCACCTTCCTGTAGATGAGCTGCCAGCTGATACCTGGTGCGGTGTCGGTCAGTCTGGCAGTGCAGGGAGAAGTTGGCCCTCAGCGGGGTAGTGTAGCCACACAGCCTGCAGTGGCATCCCCCAGCGACCAGGGAGCACCATTCAGTCTGGGGCAGAGAGCGAGGGGTGTTCAGGTGCTGCTCCACACTCTCCAGGCTGTCAGAGGAGAAACTAGAGCATATCGTGCACTGGAAAACACAGAGAGAGAGGGCTCCTGAGGGGGACAAAGAGGCAGCTGGAGGGGGTGAGGGTGAAGGCGATGGGGAAGGCGTCAGAGCTGACCCCAGTGTCACAGGCGGCTCTGGAACCTGCTGACTGCTTAAGCGCATGCTTAGGGAGAGCTCACCGCCTGCAGAACAAACAGAGTGTTAGCTAGTGTAATGTTAGTAGTGTACAAATAATGACTCATGCATTCTACCTGTGTTCTGCAGATGTTTGAGTGGAGGGGCCAGGCCTCGGCACTGGGACAGGTAGTATCCTCTCTGTAGCCGTAGCATGTTGTGTGTGTGCTTCTCGCTGGTGGTGTGAATGCGCAAGTTTCGGGCAATGCTGGTCTCATAATCACACACATCACAACGCCAGCGCTTACCACCATGCGAGTGTGAGTGCACTGCAGAGGTGATCTTAGCTGGCTGGGCAGCAGGAGTGTGGAGAGCCAGTGGAAGCTTGTATGTCTGCTCGTCCACCGTGTGTCCACCAGGAGTACTGCTGTTGCTGACATGCATGTGACCGTTCGTGTTTCCCCCACTTTGGACGTTGTTCAGGTGCTTGTCTGACTGCATGTGTATGCTTAAGTTGCCTTTGGAGGAGGTGGCATAGTCGCACACCTCACAGCGGTAGGGCTTGTAGCCACAAGCGTAGGTCTCACCTCGGGCCAGGCGAGGATGGGGCTTCCCTGAACTGCAGTACGTGCACACCCCTCGAGCTGCCCCACCACAGACACATTTGCCAGCCGAGCCTCCACACACGCACTGCCCTCCGGTTTCTGGGTGTTTTTCTTTCATGTGGACTTGGAGCGTATGCTGGGATTTATAGTGCCAGTTACATTTGGGGCATTTCAGTGTCTTACATGAATTGCGTGAGTGCATTATGGTCATGTGACTCGTCAGTGAATTTGGAGAGAGGTCTTGGTTGAGGTTTTTAGTTACAGCTTCTTTCGGATCTTCTTTTTCTCTCTCATCATCCACCTCTGTCTCTGGTTGACTGTCATTTGGTTCTGGAGCTTTGGCACCATTTCCATTGGTAACGGAAGAGTGAAGAACCCCTGTCGGCTCTCCATCCTCAGCAGTGGGTGAACTGGCAGGCCCCGTACCTGCCAGCGCTGGAAACGTCGCAATCGACTGCTGGGATTTAAAGCTCTGTGGTAACCCAGAAATCCAGCCCTGATCTCCCTTAATGTCTTTTACCTCTGTGTCGGGATGCAGAGCAGACGAGGAGGACGGACATGTGAAGTGCTTTGGAGAGGCAGAGAGCGAAGGGGCGGGCTTTGGAGAGGAGGAAGGGGTGGGGTCTGTTTTGCTGTCGAGTGTGCCACTGGCCTGTGCAGTGCTGGAAGAAGAGCAGTGCTGGCTCTGTTGAGGTAATAAAGAACATTTGGATTTATTTTGGCTTTGGTTTGAGATGGCCTCCTCCTCCTCTTGGCCTCCGCTGCCTATAACTGACGCCTCTTCCACACCTAAGTGCACCTCCCCGTCTAACCTCCATCGCCTTGACGAACATCCTTCCCTCTGGTTTCCCTTCAGTCCTTCTTCAGTCTGCTCATCTCCCTGGACCTCCTCTGGCCCTTGTGGCGAGAGGGTCAGGAGCTCTTTGGCAGGGGCCATGGCTGAGGTATGAGTGGGTGACCCCTGCTCAGGAATGGCCGCCCGGGACCGCAGAGGAACAGATAACCCCTGGGGACTGAGGTCGGACTCTCGCTCCTCTCCTCCCCCTCCATCCCCTCCTTCACCGCTGTCCATACCGGAGGCTACAGCTGCCGACCATCACGACCCCACCTGTTAGTGCGGAGAGACACACAAGAAAGCACAGCCATGATTAAAACAAAAGATGGAAGGCTTGAGTCATGTAAATAATATTGCATAACACAGAGCCCATTGATTAGCGTCCCTGGATAGCATCTGTTCAATACAGACTTCAGAGTGCAATACATAGGCTGGTTACACAGGGGTTAGCGTTAGCCCTTAATGGGAAAATCAATAGCCCGAGCGCTAAACTAGGTAGAGGAATGCGGGTGAGGGCTTCGCAGGAGGTCTATAATATTCCTCAGGGGATAGGATTAAATAAAGAACTGAACGCTTTTGAGCTAAAGGGCTTTCACTAAATTGCCACACTCGGATAAAAGAACACATTCTTAAGCCAGTGTATCAGCTTTTACATCTACTGAAGTGTGTCATTAGATGTTATAAGTATATGGGATCTCTAATTTAGTATTACTACCATTACAGAACATTAATATACCAGTGGAAGGTATAAAATATTGAACAAAATGTAAATTGATACAAAAGAGCAGTAGTTATGGTCCTAACATAATTACATATTGAGCTTTAATGTTTGCTATCACGTGATGCATTGCAGCACACGTAAGGTGTAATTGCATTTCGTCTTCACAGCCCCAGATCTGACGTGGTGTCCACCCCCTAATGGATTGCACACAGTAAACACACATTTATCTTTGCAAGAGAATAACTAATGATTCTTTTTTTCCGAGAGCAAAACACAATTGTCCACACTATATGTGATATGTAATCCAGTCAAATCATTACTGCATGTCGAATGATTTTTAAAGAAGTGTTTTTGTTCAGCTGAGTAATTGAACATGATTACAAAAATGTCTTCTCCTCCATGGACTGACAGATAGGTGCTAGATATGAAGCAAGATGTATGTTTCATATTGTGTGCCTATTCCACAATCTCATTACTGACCTTTTTTAATCAAGGAGAGACCTTAATGTACCCTTTCACCTTCTCCTCCTGCCCACCCCTTCCTCCTGCATGGGCCCCACTCTAACACTCCCCAGCAGCCATCCCCCTTTCCCTCTGCCCTGCCCGCACTTTAAAGATATATGGCTCATATCGGCACTCTGATAGTCCTTTAATGTACTGTGCTTATGTCACAGGCCACAGACCCTTGGCCACTGCAGCTGTCCACTGTCCTGCCTGCAAGTGCTCAGGGACCCTGCCTGTCTGCCAGCAGCTGAGAACACTCTCTAATCTGATAAAGATTTTCATTTACACTGCAATCAATAACCCCGGTCTATCGGCAATGTAACTATTTATACAAGCATTCCTGGCTCCCTATCGATCACGAGTGCGGGAAACCATCATTTAACATGTGTGTGTATACATCTCGGTGCGTTAATGCATGTACAATTTGTTGTGCGTATCATGTCCATTGAGCACAGGTTCCAAAGCAATATTTCAATTTAAAAGCTTATATTAACAGTAGTTGTGGTAGCTAAGAGTATTGTTAAAACTAGGTTTCCAAATCCAAACAATGTATTCCCTGGGTGATGTCTGTCTACCTATATGTGGGGAGTGAGGGTGAGTGCCAAGCGTGAAAGGATGTGTGGAGGAGAAAGAGGAGGAGGCACAAACACGCACAAGAGTTGTGTGACTATACTTGTATTGGTTTTACTTTACAGTATAGGACCAAATGACCAGTGGATATTGTTTTTTCTTCATAAAGGCTGATGTCAGAGGAGCTTGCAAACAGTATGCACCAGTATCAGGTAATAGCACCGCTACCATTGTGTTATTAGGGGCTATCGTAAAGCTAGTGCGGACACAGAACAAGGAAGGGACTTGGTAGTTCACTCCCAGCCAGTGTGTTGTCAAACCACTAACCAACATGACTACTCCAGCCTTTGTTTACAATGGACCGCTCCGTACCACACCGATACAGCTTAACCGAGCGTAGATATCCCGTAACAGGTGACTCGAGCCATAAGCAGATCAACAAAAGCGTCATTTGTGCGAATTACAGGGATACGCGGACCAAACAGCCTTCTCTGGACCATCGCCGGACGTTTCGTCTGTCGCTATATACGTAAAATAAACAAGTGCGAGCACTTACATTTGTGCAGCGGCTCCGGTGCGACGCTCCTCACGCTTAAGTAATCCACAAAACAATCGTATAGAGATCCCACTCATTCCTTTTGGATGATCCTCTTGTGTTTTTGCGAAGCAGGAGAGGGGAAACGGGGAGAGGGAGAGAGCAGCAGGGTCCGACTTGTTACCAAACAACAGTGTAATTAAAGCTACATATAGGCTGTGGTAAACAGAAGATGGGGGACGGAGGGGTTTGTGCGAGCTCCAGAGGTAGAATGAGTTCTGATCACTGTGGGGGGAAAAACACTTGGCTCTTTATTCCTGCTAATTAGTTTCCTTCAAAAAATGGCTGAGATTACGCCCAGTGCGCATGTGCGTAATTGCGCAGACACCGCTAATTAGCCCGTTTGGATCAATAGGATTCCGCGAGAGCGAGAGGAGAGAGAGAGGGAGGGGAGAGGCTTCACGGGACGGAGAGAGAGAGAAAATATAACATTTTAGACATTTTTAAGCGTAGGAAATTATCGCTAGAATATGAAATTTTATTTATTTATTTATTTTTACATCCAGTGACGTAGTTTTCGGGCGCATGTATTAAAAAAAGAGAAAGAAATCTATTATACATATTGTCAAAAGAATTTACAATTGTACAGAAACACAAAATATTGTCGCGTACTTTTTAAACTATATATATAGGCCTAGCTGAAACAATAGAAAGACAGAGAAGTTGTGCATGAGAGGTTATTTAAAAAGATGTAAATCTGTAATTTCCACACTCGATAATGTCTTCGAGATTCAGAAAACCAGGAGCATCGAACACAGGGCCTCGAGACGATGGTATCTGTGTAATTGTTTATTTTAGTCAGATTAAAATAGGGGGAGACATTTAAAATTCATTTTACATTTAAATACGCAGTCTTATTTGACTGTATTGTACTGTCCCCCTTCATCTACTTGCGTTTTGCAGCTTTGCTTTTCGAGTTGACGTGTAATTACGTCGGTTTCTCTGCAAACTTTACAAACATTGTTGTTAGTGAACAAATGTCAAGAAAAATTTACAAATGTTATATAAAATAATGAAAATAAATCCTGAAGAACATTTGCTTTTTTTGAGACGCCACCCTTGGTGATGTCCGATCAGTTTGGCCATAGCTGTACGTCACGTTTTTAACATAATGTTAGTGTTTCTTTTGTTTGTTAATTAATGTATGTAAACGAGAATATAAATAGTTATGCACTGGTGTCCACTGCAGTGTCCGGACAGAAGCCTGAGGTTTTTTTGTTTTGTTTTGGTTTGGTTTTTTTCTGTGGCCGTCCCATCCTGCCACACGGCTCGCCTATTGTTATGATAATACTATTGTGATTTTCATGGTGGATGGCAATCTGTTCTTCGTCGAAATTTAACACACAGACACAGATTATGAGGACATAGAACTAAAAAAGTACTTGAGAAACATTTTAGACTTGCTGTTTGACATTATTGTAACTAAATTAGGTTTTCGCACAGGTGGATCAGAAATATCCCTCGCATATTATTTTGTGCATTAATATCGTAGTGATCATAAGATGAAGGCCCTAATTCGCTCAATATTTAAGATTTATAAATTGTTTGTATCCCAACCATGATGTACATTACAGTAATTATAATGATTATAATGAACCCTATTATATTCACTTATAAACTATGCCTCATTCTGCATTTCTATACACATTTACTTTGTCCTGATTTTCCTTCAATTTATTTCTGACAATAAATTCGTAGAGAGTCCATTTATTGGCCAGTTAACATGGTGGCCGACATTTGTAGCTCATCCAATAATTATTTTACGATTTGAACACCATGGTGTAAAGTGGATGTCTGTCTGGCCCTCACCACCACACAAAGATTGCAGCATATCCCAGGCATAAATCAGCGCGTGTCCGACTCCGAGCGCTGCGTCTTTACGCACACATGGATACGTTTTATTATTGATGAGACTGCGTTAAAAGACACTGACGAGCCTGTCATTTATGAGCTAAACACGTCGGCTGGAAAAGGTGGTGTGATTTTAACACCAGGCCATTTTGCATATGAGATGTATGACGTGCGTGCGTGAGGTCTATGCGGTCATAATGTGTACAGTGAGAAAAAGACGTAGCCTACCTATTAGCGTACATTATAATGTTTAAAGACAGAGTAAACCTATCTATAAATGAGCTTCTTCTGCTTATAAACTTGTAATTGTGTTTATACCTTGTGTGTTGTAGTTTTTAGGCATTATGAATATTTTATTATTTACAGGCAATTTCTAAATTAGCATATAGAACTATAAATGTGTAATGTGAAGTAATTGTCTTTACTTTGACCCAACCCTTGGGCCTGTAATCAATATTTTGTATTCATTAATAAAATATGTGCCAAAAAATAATACAGATTTTCATATACAAAGTAAAAGCATTTGTAAGCTGCACAAGCATTCATCTTAACATGTGGTGTAGTAGGTATATAGGTTGTTTATAATCATGCAACTACTTTAAAACAAAATGAGCTTGCATTTTTACAAAACACTCCGCATACACTCTTACCCTAGCTGCATGAAACACATATGTATGAAAGGATCACTATAATCACTGTATATTAATTTTCACAGTTTTTTTTCACTGTGCATTGGAATAGTTACACCCACAGTCTAACCGCGCTTGGGCCCTCTCTGGATGCACTCTTCTCATGCACTGTGCCTCTTGTGCCCTCAGGTCCATGCCAGGGGTTGTTGTTTTCACTGTAATATATAGTTAGCCATTCCACCAATTTACCCTGTCACTGTTAATGGGGCAATTAACCACAGTGATACCCCCAGGCAGAAAGGAGCACCCCAACTCCAAACTTGTCTTTATGACATTTATATGACACTATGTGGGGGAAGCTGGGGACCCATCTGACACCTCAGAGGGTCCTTTATGTCACTCCCCTCTCGGCTGCCCCCGCCCCGATTTCTGCCCCGGGGTACGACACGGAGCAAGTGTAATGCATCATGTACAGAGGAGGTAGAGGGGGAACTCTCAAATCTAACTCACACTCAACATTATCACAAAAAGACTTTGAAAAGGACTGAGAATCTAAATCATTTTAGCCAAATTTTATTGAAATTGTTATTATCTCATCTGCTCTAACCAAAATATGGTCCATAATATTACTTATTGAATTCAAAAAAATCTCCAAATACATCACTTTTTTTTTTGGTCTAAATTAGTTTATATACATCAAATGAAAGCTTATGATGAGCAAAAATGTTATAAAAATGTCTAAGCCAAAATATTATCAATAATCTAAATTAATCTTAAAAGCCACTCACATCGTAACTTCAGATACATTTTAGCACCATTTGGGAATAAGTGATTTTTTGGGCTAAATTATATCAATAAAAAACAAATTTTAGCTCAATCCTCTGTCAAAATGTTACAAAAAATTTAACAATTATTTTAAATAACTGGTGGAAAAAATTCCCTTCAAAAACATGCAAGTGCATAGCTGTCTGTGTCACTGTACTTTTATCTAATATTTGTGCTAAAAGAGGCAATTCTTCCAACTTCTTGTCCTTCTCCTTGCACTTCTCATTCATGGGTGACCTTTTTTTGTCAGATTTTAAAAGTTAGAACAGTTACACATACATGGATAAGTATTTAATTTTCGACTGTGGACAAATCTAAAAAAAGAAAAGTCTATTCAAAGACAGTGGCATGTCACTTAAGGCCTTTTGATTCTGCACTCGGGATACGTCTGCAAACATATGTCTAGCTTATACGCTCCTCCTTGACCTCACTGTTTATATAATCCATATACGGAAGTCTCTCCATTTTGGTCCACATTCGGCCCTGTCCTTCTTCCATCCCAGAGGAGGCAATAACCTCCCTAGCAAGTGCTTCCCCCTTGAGCCGTTGTCATAGTAACTTGCCAACCGGTCGACATGACAACCCCACCACGGTCCAGAGATAGATGATAGGCCAGAAATTGGGAGGGAAGAAGGTGCATGGGGGATTTGCACACCCGCTTTAATTTAGTTTGCCTGATTCACATTCAGAACTGTGTTTTTTTTCCTCCTTCTCAAAGGCTCTCCAGAGGTTAGTTATACATTCATATTTACACAGGTATAATTGCCACATATAGCTGGTCAGCACATGAACTCACTGCAAATGGAAGAACCTATTCCACATTTATCATTTCAGATTTTGTTACTCCACATTTTGATATATGAATAATGAATTGTAAAATAACACAATTGCAATTTTTCTGACAAATTGCGTTTTTGATTATACTTTCAGAATTAAGATTTGGCTTCTCGGTGCCTATTCTAGCGACATATGAGAGTAATAAAAATTTGGAAACTGAGATAATACTTTACAATTAGAAGAAACCTGTGCATTTTAAGACATGTTTGTTATAGATAGACCAATATATATATGTTGGCCAGTATACCAGGCCGATATTTGCATGTTTAAGTGTACATGCCTTAAATCTCCATCACAGGCCAATATTTAGTTTTGGCTAAAGAGGATACATAAAGTTCTGCGTAAGGAGTACACATAAAGCTTTATTTGAACACTTTAATGTGAAAAGATAACTGCACAAAACATGACTACAGTGACTACACAGCTCTCGGTTTGTGGTAAAAAAAAAAAAAAAAGATAGAGTTTTTAAAATTATGTGATTTGAGGAAAATAATCAAAATCTGCTCTGCATATCAGCCTAAAAATATCAGCACAGCTTATCGACTACACTTATCGACTACAAAATAATCAAAATCTGCTCTGCATATCAACCTAAAAATATCGGCAGAGCTTATATATATCGGCCAGTCTCTAATGTTTGTAGTGGTCTAAACTACAAGGTTAGCTGTTATCACAAAATAACTTCAGAAATAATTGCAGCCTTTGCGATTTGTCATTTTGGACAATCCAAATTTTGACTGAATTTCAATGAATTTTCCAGCTCTGATATAAGTCACCTGACATTCTTGATTTGAATATTTATGTTTACGTCCTTATCACCACCATGTTTTTCTCTTGATTTGAACAGCTGGTGAGAACAAAATCTGCATCCTTCAGGAATGACTATAGGCCTCTGCCCGATGACTGACCCTGCACTTTGACCCTAACGTGAAGGCAGCCATGCAAAAACTGACATTAAGAATCAATAGGTAACATTTAAATTAGGACTATTCAATTAAAATAGACAGTGTAACCTTTCAGGCACCTTAGCATAATGTGAATGCTATAGAGCCCATGTAAATGTGTGTCGAGCTGTGGTCAGAGCTCCTCCATGCTAATAAAATTACTGCCGCTGAAATGCCATTATAGCCTATGAAATATCGTACTGAGCTATAACATATCCTTAGCATTCACCGTGTCCTTATTGATGCTTCATAAATTTCTAAATGTTATTGTGTGTGGATGTAATATTAAGATGGAATATATTATCAGTTTTATGGTGTATTACATATATATAACATATTTGTATCATAGTGTCATATTGATTGTCAAAATACACTCAATTGTAACATTGTCATAGGAAACAATATGAGAAATACTGTGAATGAATTACTGATAGGCCTGATAGGTCGCGATAATTACTATACAGATTTGTCATTCAACATATGCTAAGTGAACAATATTTTTTATCAGTTTTCTTTGCGCAAGTGGGGGATTGTCTTTTGTAATTTCATGTAGTATTATGCCTATATGACGACATTTCAGTTGTAAGTGGACCAATAGTTAACGTACATGACACCATTGTTTTCTTTCAGTGGTTGAGACTTTGGTGGCCCCCCATTTTCTGAACTTCTCCCCCATAGTCTAAAAAGAACATGGACTTAACATTGGCATAACAAAATCTCAGTTTTTTGCTCCTTGTATTGTCATTCACATAAAAAGTACAGTGTTAAAAAATACAGCTTAAAGGGCCTATATTACCGGGTATGCTGTTTTCTGATCTTTCTGATGTTGTAATGTTGTTTCCTTATCAGGAACAAACCTGGAGTTGTGTTTTGTTTAATTCACACATGTTTAACACATACATCCATCATATTTAGGCTGAGTTCTCTCTCCACGTTGTGATGTCATGTGGTAATACAGGAAGAGCTCCACTCTGTTTTTAAACTCCATACACCATCACTAGAATCATTTGGATGATTTCAGTCCTGGAATTTCCAATGTCTACTGGTAAATTGAAAATTACCGCTTCATGACATCACAGTGTGGACACAGCATTTTGAGCTTTGGAGATGTAAACAGACTAATAATAAAGGATTACTCAAACATGTGTGACTAAATCAAAATACAACTCCAGGTATGTTTTTGAGGAGATAACAACATTCTAACATTTGCATAATATAGCACCTTTAAATATTAAGTACAGGCAATATGTGAATGGCCAGGTGTGCCAAACATCCATAGAGATGTTAAACAATATTGAAAAAAAAACTAACAGCCACAAGCTGCTGGATCACTACGGGTAAATACATTTTTTACTGTAGGGTAGGACTGTCAAAAATAACAAAAATCAGATACTAATCAATACTAAAGCTACTGTCAACACTACATACACAAATACTATTATTTTGTGTTGAAAATTACAATATTGTAAGATTTTAAAATGATCATTTGGGCATCAAAATTGTAATGAAGTATTAATTCTATTCTTTAGTTTCAAAATCCAGTTTGAAATTTTAGTATGATGACAACACTATTGTAGTGTCATAATACTGTGGAATGAATGCTAACTTTAGTATTTAGCATCTTAAAATCTCCACTGGTTTAACATTAGGCTAACTGTAAATTCTGATGAGGTGTGACGACACAATCCCGAGGCCTAGTGCGGAGATGGGGGCAGGTGAAATGACTATTGCTATTATGCTGATTTTGTGGTGTGTTAGGATACGTATACCAGGATAATGGACCATGTCACCCAATGGTTCTACATTTGTGCATTTTCCTTTGTGATATTTAAATCAATACTGGATTACTATCCATCCCCCATTGAATAACATATTATTTATTCTTTCTATCATCTATCTATTTTGTCATGTTATCATATTAATAAAAAATTATGAAAAATACACATATACAAAATAGCATATCGGGCAGCCCCAGTGACATTTACAATCACCCAGGTTATTGTCAATTTGAAAGTCAGACAGAGAAGACATTTGGACAAAGTTTTTAATAACATTTAATTATTCATGTTAAATAATTTATCTTCAGGGGTTAATAATTTGTATTTTCAGAGGCCAATGTGTATAAAGCAACTGCAGTGCTGCCGAGGCAACCTGTCAAGAGCAGTGGGACCTATCTCCGGATCTTCAGCTAGTCTTGGTCACGTCTATCTTCGCTGGAGGTTTTGACCTATGTATGTATGTTTTGGGTTGACAGGAGTGCCTGGACTAAACCCAGTCAGACAGAGGCAGAATATGCAAACTCCACATAGAAAGCCCTGGAAAGCCCCTATCAGTATTTCTGTATCAATTAGGTAATATGGTTTTTCATCTTAAAATAATTTTAAGGGATTCAAGCTGATAATCTATATTTATGACATGTTGTATTATAAGATTTTATGTACCGCAGAAGTGAAACATTTAAATTCAAACACTGCAGGCTTGTAGACTCTGGTGATGTAATTTGTCAGGACTGTAAAAAATCTGTCTTGGTAAAAAAAAAAAAAAAAGTATAGAGATCGACCATTATGTGTTTGTGTCATGGCTGATGCTGATGTGATCCAGAGAACCCAGTGCCCAATAAGAACTCTTGATATTTTTGGTCCAATATGTAAAGCCAGTTTTGATTATTTTCCCCAAATTATGTCATTTAAATTTACTACAAACTCACCTACAGCCTTTTTTACCTCAAACCTTTAAGAGAGTTGTGTAGTCATTTTGTGCAGTTATTTCTTCGCACTAAAGTGTTCAAATACAGCTTTTATTATGCATATTGTTTAGACAGTAAGTCAGCCAAAAAATATATCATCCTCTGCTTGAGATTTAAGGTTGATAGTTCATAAGTGCAAATGTCAACCCGCTGTATCGGTCTGTCTCTCATTGTTTTGTTGCTTCTGGGACTGGTAATTGACTGCCTAAAACACTGACTTGATGTTTTAAACTATGTCAACCAAACAAAACTCTTAACGTAACACATTTGCTTATTTGGTTAAAGGTAAGTTCAACATAACAGTCTTTTATCATGTTACCCATTTCCATTTTTAGACTATTCAAATGAGCCACAGCAAGGCAATTTCACAAATGCATATGACTCTTGTATATAATCCCATAGATTGATGATGGCTCCCTCCTTGATTAAAGATGTAGTCTGATATGTCCTTTTGTCTTGCTTCTCTCTGATGGCTTCTTTGGTGGCGTGGACGCATTTGATGGGCACGTTTCATCTGGTATTTGTTGCCTGTGCCGCTGACAGATGGATCTTCCCTTGGGGATCAATAAAGACTATGGGTCTCATCTCATCTCATCACCTCTCCAATGGGCTTGCACTGGAGAACATCCATAAACTGAATGCTGGGTGGAGATGAGGTTGTCCACAGGTACACAGATCCTATGGTACAATCATCAGGAAGCATTAGTGTGATGAGCAGAAGGTACAGGCCTGTTGTTATAATACTAAAATTTCAAACTTTCATCACTAAGGAATAGACTCAATACTCAATACTGATCCCATTACCATGATGATAATAAAAAGCTTTTACACAATAAAATGTTCTTAGAATTTTCAACATTAAATCATAGTACTTTCTTTTGTATTACCACATGGCCTTTTATCTGTGTAATATCTCAGTCATCCAGGTATGTTCCAAATTGGTCCATGGCCGTGTACTAGACTATGTAGTCTTATACTTTTTCTGATACAGCTCAAGATCATTGTAGAGCTATTCAGGAAGGTTTATTTATGCCTTATGAGTGTGACTTTTTTAGTATCAATACTAGCTCAAATTAGTATCTAGTTTCGATACTAGTTTTAGTGTGGAGTAGTAGTTGTAGTATTTTAGTTAAAAAGCTATTAGTAATCAACCCTTAAAATGGGATTGTCAATAAAATCAATACTAATATAGCAATTGATATTAAAAACTACTGATGCTACATACCGGTACTTATTTGAACTAGAATCTATACTGAAAAAAAATCATTAAAATCTGGGGTTTAAAATGGTCTTGATTCATATCACAACTAGTATAACAATACTGATGAAAAATACTATTAATATGTAAGAATGAAAATTACATTGTATTATTGAAAACTGTTATAAAAGCGACATACTGATATGAGCAAGATTTAATGCTAAAAATCTGAGTGAATCAAAATGGTTTTGATCTATATTAGAACTAGCATAAGACCACACGTAAATATTGAGGAAGATGCTATTAATATGTATTGCAAATTATATTCTATTATTTAAAGTGACTTCTTTTTCAGCACAAAAGAACTACAATTGTGTTTTGTTCACACTATCCTAAAAATATGTTATAACTGGCTTAATTGCAGTTATACTAAAAACAAAACAAAAACACGCTCACACTTAGGGGGTTATAGTGAGTTAATTCCTCTATTTTAAACTTTAAGAAAATAATCAAGTTGGACATTTTTTAATTTCCTTTTCTTAAATAATGTTTTGAGCTGTAGGTCTACTTTGTCTTTAGAGCCATAGACATGTCCCTGTCCTCCATCCTGAGCGCTGTATTGTTTAACTTCACGATACAACTGCCGGAAAATTGTGCAACAGCCCAACCCAGTGGCTAATTAGTGCAATAACATTCATAGAGACTGGTTAAAGAAAGCCCTCCAGGACACCGTACTTTCGCGGAAGCTGGTCAAAAACTGCATCAAAACACAACGGGTTTTCTGAATATTATCATAAGGCAGGCTCGGTATGCAGCTATAATTTGTATTATTATTAATGTAGTTAAATCATTTTTTACAAACGATGGATGATGAATGGGAAGAAGAGGTAGGTAAAGGCTAAAATCACTAAACTTATGTGAATCTATATGCTCGGTTAGCTTCACTGCTAGTCCACCATCATATCTATAGAAATATTAATCCATGAATCACATCACTGATCACATTGTGGGGAAAAGTGTGCGGTTGTATTACCATATCATTTCAATATCGTTATGTTATATGGAGGAAAAAGTAGTGATGAACCAATCATTTCCATCTATAGTGCAACTATCATCCCTCGCCATTAAATGCAACACACTTAAAGGTGCACAGTGTAACTTTTCTGGTAGAGGGTATGTCACGTTTGCTTTGCCGAGAATTTTCCACAGTATGCCATTATAATCGTCTATCCCAAGCATGGAGAAAAGCAGGGGGCGTCATCAGGCAGATCACAGGTCAGATTTGGTGACAGGAGAACCAGCTCACTGTAAAAATGCATGTTTTTTCAATATATTTTCTAACAATATCAGTATACACCTGTAATTGAATAAATGCAAGATAGATAGAATTCTTATCATAATGTGGAACTTTACATTCAAAGCAATAAGACTGGTGACGTATGTACCACCAGAAAGGTTACATAATGCACCTTTAAATAAATACATTCTCTGTGTAACTTAGTTGCCTTGATAATGGCAGAATGGGCCATGGATTATTGCTGTGTAACACATTTTATAGTGTATTCATAATATACCACAGAAATTTCAATATAACAATAGTGTTAACTGTGATCCATCTTAACATTACTCACACAACTGTGTTTTCAGGAGCAGCTAGTTGTTGTGGAACTGGCCGGAACCCTGAGCAATGAGTTTCTGACCAAGAACAAGAGCACATGTAAAGTTCTTGTAAGTCTTTACTACTGTGCTATTACAGATGGATACATTTGCAGCATTTTTTGTATGATTGTTTCTACTTTCTCTGTTTCTAAGGATATTGACAGTGACAAGCCATTCATACAAGTGGGACAATTTGTCTTTGCTGGAGAATATGAAGGTAAGACAATAAAAAGTCTGTATTTCACTACTGTCTAGCCTACCAGTTTTTTTTTCACTCACACTGAATTAGAACAGGACAGCATATTGTTGTCACCAATATTTATATATGTATTCATCTTTTTTTTTTTGTCCATTTGACAGACGTTCAGTACATGTACACATGCTTATAAAGTTGTTATAGTTGTAATAATTGAGTTTAAAATGTGCTTTTCTTGTGGAGGGTCAGCCACTTGCTTATTATCTATCTCCAGAGAGATGAGCAGGCATTGCTGTCAGGCCAAGTAACAGGTCAGATCAGTGGCGAAGCAACACTTATAGCAAGAATACATGTTTTTGAAAGTATGTTTTTAACAATAGGCTACATTCACATGACATCATGACATTATAGAATCTCTGTAGTTTCAATTGAGCTGGAGGACAGGTTAGAATTCTGTGCTATGCTGTTTAACTGTCAGATTGCAGATTTGTTGACCTGGTTTATGGTTAATAACTCTGTAATTACTGAGTTTATTCACAAGAAAAAAGAAACTGACACAGAGACATTAATTCCATATCTTTGCTACCTCTTATACTATCTTACTTGTTCAGATGCTTTGGGGACTTCTATGCTGTTTGAGGAGTTGCCACGGAAAGGTAAACATTTAACCTTCAATATTTTTTTCTTTTCATTGCATTTTAATTTAATTCCTATGTTTTTGCAGGAAAGGACTCCACTACTGAGCTCAAATACATGTGTCACACTGTAAAGAAACTTATGATGCAGCGCGTGTTCCTGACAGAGAAAAAAGAGGGGGAAACCGGCCAAGGTACCTACCGGCAATCCCAGTTTTAGTGTAGTCTCTTCGCTTGCAGCACAAGTTCAATTACAACACTTTTTTTTATTCAGGTACAACAGCATTGGCAGATTATTGGTATGTGCAAATGCACATTAGAAATTATAATCTAAAACCAGAAAAAGGTTTTTAAATGGATTTTAAATTGTATATATCATGTTATTTTCTGATCTATGTTATAATGTTGTTTCCTCATCAAAAACATACATAGTGTTTTGTCTCATTCACACATGTTTAACACACAAACCCTGCATATTTAGGTTGAGTTTTTCTCTCAAATGGAAAACACTCTTGACACCTTGATGCCATGTGGTAATACAGGAAGTGGTCCACTGTGTTTTTAAACTCCATTCACCTTCACTAGAATTATTTGGAAGATTTCAGACCTGGAATTGCCATTCTCTACTCAACAAAAGGTAAAAGGTATTTGTTAACTTGAAAACTACTGCATCATGACATCACAAGGTAGAACAGAGCATTTTAAGCTTTGGAGATGTAGACAGACTAATAAACCAGGGTTGTATGTGAATGAAACAAAACAGCTCTGGATCGGTTTTTGATGAGGTGGCAGCATTCTAACATGGCTTAAAGCAAGGGTTTGGCTTATTATCTATCTGACCTCGGGATCTGACTTTTTCTGTAAAAAGTAACCCGGGGCCCAATCTCATATCAGTTGTATTTAATGCAATTGGTTTTGCGGCTCTCAAGAAGGTGCTCATGGCCCTACTCTGGGCCCCGGCCCTATGGTTAAGAATAATTGGAATTTCACAATTCACCAAGAATCCAAGAATCCATTTGTGTAATATAGGACCTTTAATTAGTTCAAAGTAAAAGAAAAATTTCACATTCCATCTTCACCTTTGCTATTTGCTTCAATACAGTAATCTGACATCTCCAGAATTCAGAAAATGGTATGATTTTTGGTTAGTGAATAAAATTAGTAATTTCTTTCACAGTAAAGATATCAGGCTATTATTGATTTGAAGTCATTTTCACTCTATTTTATCTCAAATAATTGCCTAGCAAGTCCAGAATGATACTGTATGTGTCTGTATATTTTACATATCATGTTAGCGAGCACTTCCTCTGTGGCGTCTCAAGCCAGAACTAAACATGATTGTGCAATTAGATGCTCCATTCTCAGTGACACATGTGAAACAAAGGAGGTATTTGGTCACTTATCATTTACTGACAAAATTACATCTCACCTCAGATTAACAGAATTTAGTGTTTTGCTCATTGATTCTACAGAAACCTGTGATAGTTTCTGTCCCTTGTGGTATTTGTTTTGATAAGGACAGACCATGTATGTCCTTGATTAGAGAATTCACCTGTCAATCACACCCTTCTGAACTGATGGAGATTCGCCATGACAATACCTCAATTATAAAATCAGCAGTAGTGATTTTGTAATAGCAGTATTCTTTTCTTTTTCTCTGTTTGTATTAAAGTGTCAGACATTCATTCTGCTGAAGTTACAAGCTTTGTACATTTTTGTCTCTTACTAGGAGGTACAGGAGACAGTGGAGAACAAGATGATGCCATCTTGTTGAGTGATGATGAGGAGACTGGGGCAGAGCTGGATGACACACACAACACTGTGGATGTGGAGGACTCCCTGCTGGGCTGATTCCAGAAGGACTCACTATAGTAGTATATATGTACATTCAGGCAGCTCGAAGCCACAGGCAGACTGGTTTGCACCTACAACTGGATTTATTAGTTCAGGTTTTTTCAAATGTTTTGTAGTTTGTAATAAAATAATAATCTGATTGATGTGTTCTAGAGTGTTTTTTGATGTTTTTTAAATTTAGAGGTTCACAAATTGCATCCATAGACGTGTGTGTGTGTGTGTGTGTGGGTGTGTGTGGGTGTGGGTGTGTGTGTGTGTGTGTATTTACACATTTATACATATGTCTATGCTGGTCAATTTACATCTGCACAGCATCATGAGTATAACACCATAATAAGCAAGAACCCCCCCAGCTCCTGTAGACAAGCGAAGAAAATGTCCTCTTCCCTCTCTTCTTCTTCCTCCTCCTCTTCCTTCTCAGAGAGACTCCCATAGCCAGAGTCTGGCTTACACAGTTTGCAAGCACAGTAGGTACAAGAGACCAATAATAAATAACCTTGACAGTACGATTTCCCCTTGACTTGAGGGCGACCTGTTCTGGACAGGTTACGACCACAAGCTTGACATTCCTGATCTTTAAGTGCTGATTTTTGTTGTCTCTAATTTTGAGATGGCAGTTCACCTGTATAGGTGTTAATGTGGGAGTGCCAGTGTTCTCAAAACAGGTGTTGGCCACAGGATTGAGACATTTTATTTGTTTCTTTTTCTTGGTTGGGAACTTGACTATCTGAAGTATAAATTAAGTAAATATACTTGATCAGAAATGGGTAGAGTAGCCAAAAATTTTACTAAACTAACAGTAACATTACCTCAAAATAATATTACTCAAATAGGCTAGAAATACAGATAAGTGGTCCAAGAAACAACTGAAGTAAAAGCAACATAGTATTTTGGAAAACCGCTACTAAAAACTGTCGAGACATCTGATTTATAATTTCAAGGTACTGTGAAGGGCAAAACATTAACTAACAAAACCTACTATTTTCAAAAGATAGACACAATTAGAAAAATGAGGGGAAAAAAATCATATCTGAAGAAGCAATGTAAGAAACACAACTGTTATAATCATTTCACACTGTCCACATTAAACTTTTGTCACTTGAAGACTTGCTCACAGTAGAGAGAGTATCCAAAACTAGGCCTACTATTACTTCAATAAAAATATTACTCAAGTCAGAATAAAAGTATGCTGCTACAAAAGTACTCTGAAAAGGACAATTTCTTTAAAAAGTTAAACAAGTAAATTTAACTCAGTAAATGTAATCAGTACAACCAACTCTGTTATTGATTATCATTTTAAAATCTATTCAATTGAAAAGCCAATTTGAGCACAACAGTAGATGAATAAAAATAAGATGTGGAGATCCCAGACTTTTCACTTCATAGATTTATGAATGAACGGGATGTTGTTGACTTTGAGGACGTGGCGGTTCTGGTCCAATCCAATCACCGCCCTGCTTCTGAAGTGGACCAATCACATCGCGACATCACACTAGCCGTCCTGGCCTCTGATTGGCCGCCTGCAGCTTTAGCACCGGAAGAGCATGGGTGTGTTTCCGCTCTGCTGCTGCCCTCAAACTGCATCGAACAACTTCTCACCAGACCGGGTACTTTCTTTTACTTTCAATCTTTTATAGTGACTGGAAGTCTAGCATTTGGCCGGTGATTTAGCTGTGATATAGCGGACACGTGATTTAATGGTAAAGGAGTTTGTGATTTTGTTTTCTTAGCCAAATGTCAGATGATTATGTTGACTCCAATCTAACGGGACGCAGACTACACTATTGTTACTCACAGACAGATTCTACTTTCTATTTTGAACGGACTATTATGGCAATCTAAAGAAAAAGCTAAACGTTTACAGGTTATGGTGAGATTTTGTGTGTTGTATTTGTAGTTTTAAGATGCAGTTATCATACATATTTTGCATTAAATATTAGACTAATTAATCAGACAAGCAAACAAAATGCCTTATACCAGCTCTCTAAATCCGTAAAATCCCATTTAATAATAATATTAGTAATTGACACACTAAGGATTGCATCATCTCAAGGTACTTTTTTTCCGTTTTAAATAGCTTTAAAATAATATGCAAATACAAAATCTAATCCAAACAATTCATGACCAGACTTTGTGAAGACGGACTTATGTTTCAATCATAGACTGACTGAATGTATATGTATATTTCAACAGACGCAATAACTACTTGCGAGGTCTAAAACTAAGAACTGCATGAGAAATATTGATCTTAAATGTGCACTATGTAACATGTCTGCTGGAGAGACCATCTCCTGCTTGGTTTCTAGAGTTCGTAGAGATGTGCTTTCACTGAAATGTTCTACAGTAGGGCATTATCCCTTTTTATGGTGACAGCCAGTCGATGCCACTAGGTGCAGGTCAGATCTATGGAAAGGAGGCGCTGCTCATAGTCAGAATGCAATGCATATTTTTAAAGTTATTCTTGAGCTATAAAAACACCTGCAATTGAGAACATTTACTCAAGACAATAATACCTTAATGGAGACAGGTGGCAAAGATCATTACCCAGAAAAGTTGGACAGTGCACCTTTAACTCTACCACCTGTGAAAGCAATATAGCTAATAATTTCTGTTCTGTATCAGATCATGAAGATGGAGCTGCGTCCCTTGTTCATGTGTTTTGCCGTGTGCCTGGTGTACGCCTCCAGTAAACCCATGGAGAAGAAAGACCGTGTCCACCATGATGAACCACTGAGTAACCGTGAGCACAATGACGCAGAAGACTTCGACTATGACCACGAAGCTTTTCTGGGACAAGAGGAGGCCAAAACCTTTGACCAGCTTACACCTGAGGAGAGCAAGGAGCGCCTTGGGTGAGAGAAAATACTGCCTCAAAAACATAGATCTCTAGGTGGTGTGTACAGTGATGCTCATGTGTGCTGAGCGTGTATACTACGTGTATGTGTGTCTGTGAAGCAGTGTGAGAGTGGAAGTTGAGGTTGAGGGTGAGGTCGAACTGTTTTATTATGTTGGTTTCAAAATAGGGACCACTTATATATTGAATTAAATGTTAGTAAATTTTATGTGAGAATATATACTGGTCATGTTGTATCCATCAACTTTTAGATTCTGTAAATGAAACATCAATCTGCACAGGGACTACAGGTGGAAATTAGCATTTTCTGCTATAACCTGGTCTAATCCATCTTTCGTTTTGGTCGGTGTGCACTGTCCCTGTATAAATAGTCTCTCATTTGGGTGGTCTGGTTTAATTCTGAACTCCAGTTAGCTAAAATCTTAAAGGACTCTCTCTGATCTGAATTATCACCACCTAAACCCCAGAATCTACAGCCAATTATAAATCAGTGCTAGTCCAGCCTCTGCAGGTTTTATTGCAGGTTCTGAGCTTTTACTTCAGGTATGCCCTGAAAATGAGAAAAACGTGTTGGTTTTTTTTTTTTTTTTGTTGTTTTTGTTTTGTTTTTTGTTAGAGAACATTCTACATACAATTCTTTTAAGAAGTAACCAAAGCTATTTGTATTTGTCATTGGTTAAATTTGTGATTGGTTAAATTTAGCTGTCACTCACTCATAGCTTGACCAAAAGGAGGATTCGGTGTGTCTGTGTTTGAGAATGGAACATTAAACAAGGTATCATAAAACTATTTAATGAATTTTAAAAATATATTTTAGTATGTTGGTGGAGCGCATCGATGAAGACCAGGATGGCTTTGTGACTGTGGAGGAGATGAAGAAGTGGATCAAACACGCTCAGAAGAGGTGGATCTATGACGACGTTGACCGACAGTGGAAAAGCCACGACTTGAATGGAGACGGGGTGGTGTCCTGGGACGAGTATAGGAACGCCACTTACGGCTATATCCTCGGTACGACTGCTCTGCTTCTAGTAATGCAGTGTACTTTTCTGGACTGTCAAAGTTGTTGACAAGTCTGTACTACTAATTAAGATTTAACCAGAAGATGAAGGAATGACTTGAGCAAGTAATAGGGGTGATATGTCTTCCCCAAGGACACAACAAGAAAAAGAAATTAGTCAAAGAAGAAGAAATTGAACTACCCCAGAAGAACAGGAATACACATATTAGAATGACTCTGTATTGTACTGTTTTGCAGATGACAGCGACCCAGAAGATGGTCTAAGCTACAGACAGATGATGGATCGTGACGAGAGGAGATTTAAAATGGCCGACCAGGATTCGGACATGAAGGCCAACAAAGAAGAGTTCACTGCTTTTCTTCACCCAGAGGAGTATGATCACATGAAAGACATCGTGGTGCTGGTGAGAGCAAAGAAAGGTTTCCACACTGGGTATTTTGCATAGTCAGTCAAAATCAATCCAATAACACATTTAAATTTTTATCGGTTGATGTGAACAAGATTCCAACAATGTTTGTGCGCTCAAGTCTAAAACAAAACAAAAAAACAAAATTGACTCGTGATAGTAGAATGTCAAAGAAAATACACAATCGTCTTTATTTCATATCCTGTTACCATTGTCCAGTATTGTGTCTCTCTCTTTACATTCTAATTTGTTCTTTTCCTGTTCTTTTTCCTGTAGGAAACCATGGAGGATATCGACAAGAATGGAGATGGCCTCATCGACCTGGATGAGTACATCGGTCAGTTTTTCTTTCACCAAGAGTAGACTTATTTTTGTTGTCAGCAGTTTTAAAAAGTGTGAATACAGCATTGGGAAACCAGTTAGTTGGTGGCATGAGGAAATATGTAAGTGGTATCAACTTTCCAACAAAAAATTTGAATTGTACAGTAAAAATGCTTGTAATATTTTTAACTCTGCCACTCTCTAATTGCACAGCTAAAAAGATTATATAATTTCATTTACCCCAAAATGGCTATAGACTTTGTGCCAGTGCTTGTGGATGGTCCTAGTGATTTTAGTGACATTAACCAGGTCAGAATAACAGCATTTAGAATTCTGAGGTATCAGGCATTTAGGATTCTTGCCTGATACCTCAGTTTTGTAAGTCACTATATGATGTTTTGTAATGAGAGATTTATGATTTACTGTACGCAAACCAAGGCTAACTGACTTTTGTCTTGTTATCCAGGTGACATGTACAACCAGGATGGGGACGCCTCTGAACCTGAGTGGGTGAAGACGGAGCGTGAACAGTTCACTGAGTTCAGGGACAAAAACAAAGACGGCAAAATGGACAAAGAAGAGACTCGAGACTGGATCTTGCCCAGTGACTACGACCACGCTGAAGCCGAGGCCAAGCACTTGGTCTACGAGTCAGATTCTGATAAGGTATGCATTATTAACTACTTCTCAGAATTTCAGAATAGAAGTCAAATTGTTTGTAAATGTGTGGATCCAAAAACCACCACAGAAGTCACTTCTCAAAAGTGCACTTACCCTCCAGAACTTGTCCGAATTCTAAATGTTTTATTTTTCTATTTTAATCACTGATTGCCCAATAAGACAGGCTCAGTAAATACAGACTAGCTAACTAGATTAATCATAAATCAGGAACAAATTTTGGGATGCATTTTTTAAATGCCTTTATGCACCACACATGAGCATTATACATTTTGAGATGCTTGTGCACAAAAGGCAGGACTAAAACCCAGTGCATGGAAAGAGTGAGTATTAGCATAAGTATGTGATGTTGGCTCAGTCATGTTTGTCCATCGGTGAGACACACAGAGGTGATTTATTTTCTGTGGGTTACTCTGAATTCCCCATTAACTCTGTTGGATTACTGTTGTCATGGTGAATCCTCATGTATTTTCAGTCATAAGTTCTTTAAGTTCCTTTCATTCCACTAATCATGCGCTGCTAGACTGTAGCATGGTTTGAGTTTTCATACTCACAAAAATCAGTCTTGTATAAATCATGCTGATCCTTTTGAGCCCATTTGGTACCTCATTAGCGACTTAATATCAATCTGGCATTGCCAGGTTATAAACACACTATATTACACACATTTGCATAATAACAATAGTGTTTTTGTCTGCTCCTATGTTTAGCCAGTTATAGATTTTTTTTTTGTTGTTGTTCGTGTTTCATGTGGATAGACCGTATCGACTCAGGCCCCAATTCACTTGGCATTGAAAAGCGCCTCGTCCCGCTCTATATAATCCTGGTGTTTTTATTTAGCTATTTCTCTGTTTTGTTCATAAAATTATTTCTATTCTTAAAACGGAACTCTGCTCCAAATTCGCCGCATAACTGCTAGATTCTATGAGCTTCATTTGATTGGAGCGAATGTTATGACGTCACATTTCCTTAGTCCACTTCTTTATACACTCTATGGGGTAGACCCATTCATTTTCAAAGATAATTATAAAAAGCAGGACAATGCAAAACAATCAAAGGATTCTATAAAGGCACTCTGTTACCTGATCACTACTTAGATTGCTGTTTAAATTCAAATCAAACTACTAGGGCTATAAGAAAAAAAATGATTCAGTGATATATTGTTGCACAATTCTCGAATCTATTCAAAATGCATCCAGATAGATTTTTTTAAATAATATTTTTCACAAAAAAATCATTAGTTCCATTTACTGTTCTCATGATTTTAAAAAATGTATAAATTTATATTTCATACAATTTTGTTATTGTTCTGGTGTAGTTGACTCTATTATTAGAAGTAATTATTGATAACTGGCAATATATGATCCATTGTTTTAATATCGGGATATATAGAATCGTGACATGCATATCATGAAAGGTATTGACTTAAGACAATGCACACCCCTATTAACTAGTCAGGCTATGGGCCAGTCTTGTCCCATATTAACCTCCTGCCGCCCCTCCCCCCACAGGACGGCCGTTTGACCAAGTCTGAGATCGTGGACAAGTATGACCTGTTCGTGGGCAGCCAGGCCACAGACTTCGGGGAGGCACTCACGCGACATGATGAGTTTTAACCCTTCCCCTCCTGCTCAAAGACTCAGATCACCGTGTGTTGCTCGCCTCTGCCACTAGGAGTGCTGTCACTGAGATGAGCCCAAACGCCACGGACAATAATTTATTTGAATGTTTTTTTGTTTTGTTTTGTTTTTGTTTTTTAATGCAAATTATTTCATACACAAGCTTGGCTGGTTTTGAATTCCACCTTTTCAGATCATAAGGATGGACAGTGTTAAAGACAGAAAAAGAAAAAAAATCAGGACACATCTTTTTGAAATGCACTGGACCATAAACCGTAACATTTTGCTGTAAATTTTGTATCATGCCCAAGTGGATGTGTTTTTGTTTTTTAAATGTGCAATATGTAACTTTTCTCATCTAGTGTCACCTACCTCCATCTCCATGGAGATGTTAAAGTTTGGATGATCCACTGTATAGCATTAGAAATATTGGTGACACTTTATAATATAAATATATAACTACACCTTAATAAAGCCTAATGAAAGACTTAAGTCATAATCAACAAGTAGTTTACATAATTAGTACTGAATCATTTTTAATAGTTACTAAATTGTTCTTACTAGACAGTTTGTTTGACTTATGCATTTTGATTATTACCTTAATGTTTTTCAGAGTATTTTAATACTAATACAAATGCCAGTAATTCAATCAATCCAATGTAGATAACTTAAATTCCATACCAGGAAAATCAATTACATCTTCATGGAGACAAGCAGGTGGCAGACTGAGACCCTCCGCAAGAAAAGTTCCATATTTCACCGTTAATGACTGAATGTTGTTTTGCTGACGATAAGCGACTGCTACGAGTTTGACCGTGAAGATTATTTGGACCAGTGCAATAATGAAAGCAGGATTAGTTTTTGTTAATTGAATGATGTCTCTCAGTGAAGGTTGGACTTGAAGGCCTTGGTTGAACTAAATAATTTTGTCCAGAGAAGCTGCATTATATTGTTGAAGCATCACCGTGCTGGTATGCATGTTGTGTACATATATTACTCGTGTATTTCTGTTTGGTGTGTTCACTTTTGTATTTTGTGCCAAGCTAAAAAGAACTTTGATTTCATCCAAAAAGTTAACCCTTTGTTTTGATTGGATTCTTTCTAAATGTTTGGCTTGTATTCTCACCTTATAACCACTGTTGATACTTTTATCTATGATTATAAATTGTATATGAAATTGTTTTTTACAAGCTGGCCTCACCAATAGCGTTCGCAAGTGACTTTACTGTAATGATGTTGGTGCAGCCCAAATGAGGTCCATTTTGTGATTGGGAGAAATGTCTCAATAAAATAAAACAAAATGATTAACTGGTGTTGACACTGTTAATGGTGGGATGTCAAGGGAACTTTAGGTGCCACATAGTGAAAGAAGAGTACACTAGAAAACCATATTATGTGTTTATTTTCAAAAAATCTTCCAAGATCAAAATGTTTTACTAAACACCACTTCTCAAAAGATTGGGCTCTCCAAGTACCATCAAACCAGATGAACAGTAAAATCTGACCCAGATCCAAAACAACCAATAAAATTGCATAGATCTGCATGTACTAAAGTGTATTGTCTGTGAGCATGATTAGTGATCAGAGAGGTCAGTGGTGCAAATTGGCAATCTCACTTCCATCACTCTACCCCAGGGCAGCTGTGGCTAGATGATTTTTTTCTGGAAAAGTACTATATCTAATGCATTATGATAATAGTACATGTCACTCACTTAGATCCAGCAGAGTTTACATTTAATCCGTTTGAGTGTGATTACAAGTCATTGCTTCAATGGCACACCACACACAAAATATTTGTTAAACTTCTAAAAAAACTATTACTATTCTGTTAGACCTATCAGTACCTAATCATGGTGAAAACAACATTATAACAATGACTTAATAAAACAAGACACTTGAGCAGTCCAGCAGCAGATTAACACATTATTTATCTGTCACAGTCAAACCATTGAAACCAGTCTTTGTCTTATTTGTGTATGTGAGCCTATTTCCTGAAGGTGACCATCACAGGATAACATCTCTCCATCACATCCAGCAGCTCGAGTTCATCTGGCAGCAGATCTGGACTAACGTTTTCCTCTTCGAAAAACACCTCATCCTCTCGTCCACTAGGGGGGGGCCCCACAGAAGAATGGTCCGAGTTATCCAGCGAAGTGCACGGCTCTACCTCTGCCTCTTCTCCTGTAAACGGTGAATGACTGAGGGATGACCAGCTCAACAGCTCAGGGCTCGGAGGAGGGGTGGTGGCTTTTTTTGCACTCAACAGAGGAGAGGAGGTGCGTTTGGGAGGGCTGAGGACTTTGCAGATTGGTTTGTCGATTGCGGCTGCTGCTAACCGTCTGCTCAAGAGGTCGGATGGAGAGGAGGGAGGGGTAGGGCTGGTAGTCTTTGGATTGGGAGGAGCAAGAGGGGTTTCAGGAATGCTGAAGTTTTCCGACAGGTGGAGAGGGGAATCACATGGAAGTGTTTCTAAGCTGAGGTTTTCTGTATCCTGGCTGGTTGTGTTCTCGCAGGTAGACTGAGTGGCTTTGGCGTCGTCTTTAGGCTGGGAGGGACTGTCCTGGTTGGAGAATATGAAAGATGGGTTGGAGGTCCCGTAGTCTTCAGTGCTGAATGGGAGATCCTCCGTCTGGGACATGGTACTTCCATGGCTCACCTTTATATGGAAATAATTAAATTAAAATTTTAACAACAAGTTTTAATATTTATATAGATATATAATGTAAACTAATACAACAACAGAAAAGAATGAAAAGTAAATTAAATTATATTACTACATCAACACAAGAAATAGGTTACTTTCTTTCTTAAAAAAATACATATATTGTGACTGAATTTCATAGGCGTTTCAAACTAGCCAGTTTTAAAAGTACAGTGTGTAACTTTCTGGAGGTGGCATGTCACCTGCCTGATTCCATGGAAATATTTGTATCGTGTTCAGTTTGCTGTTGTTTGTTCTTGTTTGTGATTTTAATGTTACCATCAGCTTGACCCAGACCACTGGGAAAATCAGGTGCCATAGTGGGGCACCAGTCACAAAGAACCTGTAGTTGTGTCCTTAGGCAAAGCACTTCACCCACATTGCCTAGCATGAACCACTGAGTGTGAAGTGAATAAAAAATTATCTGTAAAGCGTCTTTGTGACATATGTCTGTGAAAAGTGCTATATAAATAAAAACTTACTTACTAACACAGCATGAAGCAGCAACATATACATTATAAATAGTTTTTTAAAAAAGATAGATTTTTTTTACATCAATAATGAAGTAATGATTTTTTTAAATATATCAATAATAATGTTCTATTGTCCATAATTCTTCATGTTTATTGTACAGCTCTAAATGTTGCGGTGAAGTAAAAAGAAAAAAACACATAAAAAAAACAAATAATACTACAAGAACTCACCAGTTGAAACCAGCGTAGACTCTGTGGACACATTAACATTCCTGTCACACATGACTGTTACTCTGTTCATACACGATTATAAAATTTAACCTTTGTGCTCTCACCACATTGGGATGTTTGCCCTGGGCCACACTGCCCCTCTCCAGTGGGTCCCTGCGGTCCTGCAGCCTCTTCTTCATCCACACACACAGATAGAGCAGACACAGCCCCAGAGACAGGGCCATGAGGCAGAGGAAGAGCGCTTTACCTACCACACAGCCATTGAGGCGCTGCCCAGACATCTCACTCTGAGGAGCTGAGGGACACAAAGCAGTCAAACCAAAGCTTAGTTTAATACATAGTACAGACAACAAACTAGATCGTCATTTGAATAAGTATTGATACTAAAAAGTCACACTCACAAGACAAAAGTGAACCTTTACTTTATTTTATTTTTTATGATGGTTTGCATTGTTTGCTTTGAAAAACATTACTGTGAGCAGGCTCCCATCTCCATAAACCAGACTTTTAATTGAAATGTTGTTTCTATAATTTTCCCTAGTGTTGCATAAAACATATCTATCACCATGCAGAATGTTCTGAAGCATGGTTTTAACTTTCTTTTTATATGGAATCATACAAGTGATGTGCCACTTTCAGAAAGTTACATACTGTAACTTTAAGTCACAGTTTAAATTATATATTGTCCTCTTGGCTTAGTCTCTGTAAGTTTGAGTTAAATGAGGGCATATTTTTCTCAGACTGTATTTTTTTATCACCAGTTATGAGATAGGACTTTGTTTTTTATCAACAACTCTACAATGACAGTAACATCCTAATCTTTTATCTGAGACAGTCTTTCAATTCTCAGCCCTCAATATCTAATAATAATAAAATAAAAGCTCTATTTGACAATGCAAACCAAAGTGTAACTAACCTGCTTGTCCCTCAGCCAACACCTCCACTGTCACAGTGGTGAAGGTGGATTCTCCCGACTCCTGGTCCACAGCTCTCACCTACAAAACATCAAGTAGAGATTTAACTATCAAGTCAGTAGCAGAGGTGGGTAGAGTAGCCAAAAATTGAACTCACGAAGGAGCAACATTACTTAATATGTTTCAATAATATTACAAGAAGTACAAAGTAATGCTTCAAGAAATTTCTGAAGTAAGAAAAAAGAATATTTGAGAAAACTCAAACTCAAGAGTAACTTATTGAGTAACACGCTGTGCATAATGTGCGTGTGCAGAGATTGTGCTGCAGATATCTAACCAAAGCTGCCTTGAGTCTGGAAAACTGGCTGCCAATCTGGCCTCTTCTACCCCTCCAACTACACATTCATACACATAGGATAAGACAAAGTAAGATAAGGTGTATGGTGGTAGCTTTCCCATAGGATTACACAGCAGTTATATCGTACCAAGGTTATCAGTGAAAATGCACAAATCAAGCTTAATCTCCTGAGAATAGTTCAGTTAAATCTCTGTGGTTTTAAAGTGCCCTTCCATTGCACCATGACCTATTTTGGATCAGTATGTATTTGAGAAATATACCATTACAAATCTTTTTTTTCCTTTTATGGCTGTACTTTTAAAGATACACCATGTAATTTGTCTGATGAGGGGTCAGTTACATGCTTGTGTCCATGGAGATGTTTTTGCCTTGTCTGGAATTTTCCATAGTATGGCATTAGACTTTCTTCTATCGGGCTCACCTCTCCGTGGTTTTGACCAGTAACTTGGCCTGGTGTCACCCCCTGCTAAGGGGAAACATTCAAACCACACTTCAGATCATTCTTCATGGAGACACAAAGCAACAAAATTTCCTTGGTAACAAGGAGAAGGCCCTCCTCCAGTCCAAGTAAGCGTCAGGTTTGTGGACATGCAAGCCTGCTTACAGCAAGAACACATGTTTTTTAAGCTTTTTAATGGTCTAAAAACATCCTTAATAAAACTACATGCTTTTATTTTGGTCTGTTTGTTGTATAAAAAAAATAACACCGCCACAGACTTAAATACCATACTGTGGAAAATTACAGGCACACCAATAACAGGTGTGTGGAGACAAGCAGGTTAGGGATATTCCATACTGTGTCACAAAAGTGACACAGTGCACCTTTAATCTAGTCCACAGATTCTGGAAGATCAATACTAACCTCGAGGACATGTTTCTCTCTAGGGCTGAGCTGACCCGTCTTCACAAACACCAGCCCCTCTTTGGTGACCGTGTACAACTTTGAGTGGTTAGACATGGGACTTAAACTGAAAACTATCATGGGGTTGGCACTCTGCAAGATGACAAATACAAAATTAACCAAATCACAAATCCAGTTCAAATATTGTATGAATGAGACTTATTACAGACCTGGTTGAAATCCTGGTCTCTCACGGTTAACACAAGCTCTCTGTTGCCGTATGTGTGAACCAGAGTGACTGCACCAAGCCCCATAGTCACAAAGCCTGAATACTGGGACTTCTCAAACACTGGTGGAAACTGGTTATGTCCTAAAATATGCACGACTACGGCAGCCACAGAGTACTTCCTGGGATCATTGTCCTGGAATGCCTGTACAAAATATAAGTTGTTAATTAATTGGTTAATAGAAACAGTACAGAGGTGTGTGAAGTTCTTACCATGACCTGCAGGTGGAGGGCTGGAGTGATGAGTCTGTCAGGGATGCCCTGAGTTAAAGACATCTCACCAGTGTGTCTGTCTATCAGGAACTGGCCATCGTCATTCCCTACAACACGTATATGTGTATATAAGTGTACATGAACAGCAGTTATTAGAGTGTACTCACTTCTCAGTATATACTAGACCTGTGAGGATGGCGTAACTAATGGAGGAACTGAGGCCGCTGTCTCCGTCCACTGCGTAGATGGGCCCAGGAGAGAAGCTCAACACAATGTCCTGCAAGAAACATGTTATTGTTGCAAAATTGCTTTTGGAATGTTTTAAATTCAATAATATGATGCAGCTAAAAGATATCAGCACAAAAACATAGGAATATCTATCAAATGGTGAACATGTCTTTGTACAAGTGTTTATGCTTTAGTGAGCACATATATTAATAAAAACATTCATACACTGAGATCTAAGACATTTGGGGTCATAAGTTGCTATATCAACCTATGTCAGATATCTGCTGTGAGGAACTGTACATTTCAACATAGTAAAGCAATGGATTCCTATTTAGGGAACTGTTATCGGATTTTGAAACCAGACCAAATAGTATTTCAGATGGTAAAAGGCCTTTCGAATTCTCAGGACAAGCCGTGACTCAATGAGATGCAGAGGCTTCACTAGCATTGATTAATGTTTGAGCACATTCTGCTTTCTAATTGGGTAATTGTCAAAACACAAAATTACAGTAAAAAAAAAATACATATTTGATTTGAATGTTGACCCTATCTTAAAACACAGACAGCTTAATCTAGCCTATCATGGCCTGACACAGAGTAAAGAGTGTGCTTACTTGCTGTCCCTCGGTGACATTGGCCGTGTAGGTGGGGCTGACACACACCCGAGCATTGACCTCCTCGTAAAGGACAGTACAGGGCATAAACAGAGGGTATTGGTCATCTCCGTCCTGCACTGTGATGGAGATGTGAGCGCTGGTGCTGTACTGCTCTGCTGTGCCCATCTCCTGCAACAACAGTCTGTCACTGAGCACTTATGTGTGTCAAAATCTTCTAATATTCAATCAGTAATCTTACAGAAGCGCGCACGACCACACTGAGCAGAGTCTTGGTCTCGTAGTCTAAAGGTTTGGCCAGGACAATTTCTCCGCTGTTTGGTAGAACCACTTTGAAGTACTTTGCATCAGGCTACCAACATAATAATAAAAATAGTAAAATATATGATGATGCTTTGACATTGTCATCTAAGGCTGGGTGATAAGACAAAAAAAAATCTTCTGATTGCTCAATTCCTATTTGTGACTTTATTTAATTTTGTCTTATTAAAAACAAATTTAAATGGTTTTGACAATCATTTCCCTAAATATAAACAATACAGACTTCATCATTCATTGCCATTTAATCCAAATACTGGTCAGCTTTTTTCTTCAAAAGTCTAAATTCTGCTCTAAACCACATGCTTTAACTGACAAATGTTCAACAATAATTTTTGACTATTAAAAATGACCGAATCTCAATCTCGATTAGTTGCACAGCCCTATTTTAATTGTGTAAATATTGAATTACAACTTACTGATGCCTGGTCAATATTGTACATAATCTTGTCGTTATCAGCATCTATTGCTTGGACCTTGAGAACAACTGCATTCACTGGACTCAACTAGAAACAGAAAATTAGATATTCACTCAAGGTTAAGAAGTGGTGAGAAAAAAATATGTATTTAAAACCAAAAGTGTGTCAAACAAGCATATGGGTGTCATGAAAAGTTCAAAAGAAAGCAGTTCTTTAGAGAGGACTTGGCAGAGATGAAGAGAAAGTATGATGAAAACATGTTACGTAACAATATCAAACACAGGACCATGTTAACATGGTATTTACCTCACAGTACAATATTTATTGTGAAATTGTGGGGAAGCTTCAATTTTTGTAATTCCTTCTATTTTGCATGCTGCTACAAATAAATCAAGCTTTTAAAGAACTATATGTAAGGTTTTGATTTTTCCATAAACATGACCTACCTGTGTCCTCAGATATGAAGTATGCTAAAATGAAGATGTTAAAATCAAATATAACTTTTGCAGACAATTGTAATGCTGAATTAATTACAAAAATATTGGACATGATGTCCCTTTTATTTATGTTATAATTTACTATTTTGGTTCTCAAGATGATTATCAAATCAGGGAGCCAAATACCAATAAACAGAGAGCCAATAAAAACTGAGGAAAGGAGAGTGTTGGTGGCATAGGGAGTGGGCAGTTACTGGCTGATAGTGACAGACAGGTGGCATACAGGTGACAGACAGGTAACAGAAAGGAGAAAAGAACAAGAGGAAACATTGATATATACTGAATTCCCACAACTTCACTTGACTGACACACTGTACCTCACTGATGACAGCAGTCTGCACAGGTCCGTCCACAAACACTGGCATGTTGTCGTTTTCATTGAGGATCTCCACCACAATCCTGTAAACGCTCTGGGACAGGAGGAAGAGATCAGGGAGAGAGAGCACCAGGGCATTCTGGATAATGTAATGTAATGTACCTGAAGTGTGTCCTCCTCATAACATACCAGCTCTGCCAATAAAACTGGGCCCTCTATCTGATTAAAAAAACATTTGAAAAAAATGTACTTGGACCTGGTTGAGACAAAAAGCTGAATATTCAACAATGAGACATAATTTAAGACATTAAACGTGTTAAATGATGAATCTAAGGAGTGTGACATCTTGGGGGAACATGATTCGAGGCCAAACATGACAAAAGTATATTCCTTTCTCTGAACCTTTTCAGTCAGTCTGTGTTTGACAAGGATTATATTGTTACAGAACTTACAGTCTTAAATAAGATTAAAGGATTTAATAGCCTAATAACTTTGATTTTGGTTTTACACAGAAACCTGAAATTTGGCAGTTTCATCTGAGTTCTGACAAGTGCATACTGTTGTGTCCACATAGACACACTCACCTTGCCTAGTATCACTATGGTGTGTGAGTGTGAGGTGTTGGTCGGAGGGGCCTTGCTTGTGTCACTCTACCCCAAGGCAATTGTGGCTACAATAGCAGCTTACCTCCACCAAGTATGGAGTGAATGAATATTGACTACAGTGTAGTGCTTTTAGAGGTTTGTCAAGCCTCATTTGCACTTATGCTCAGCTCTGATGTGATTTGTACAAGCACCTGACCTGCGTGAACTAATGTATGTGTGGTTTTTATGCTGTGATCTATGACTGCAAAGAAAAATGACTTTTGGGAATAAATAAAGTTTTTTAAACTAAACTAAGCCAGTAAAATGGGAAAACAAAAGTCATTATAGTAAACAATACCTACAATTACATGTACACAAAACAAATCTGATTATTATGAGATTATATATTTTTGTTAAATTTGCAAATCATTTAAATAATCTTAAAAAGGTCCAGAAATCAAATATATAATTTATATTATCATTACATGCAGTTACCAGAACATCACTCCATTTTTAGATCCTCACTAATAAATGGATTCTTTACAAGGTGAAGGTTTACCTCTCTGTCCAGGACTTTTTCTTCAGATGTGTTGAGCCAGAGGTTTGTCCCATCCAAGAAGAACCAGTGTGCGTCCTTTCCACGCACTGTCCAGGAGAAGCTGTCCTCACCCCAGTCCCCAATGAGCTCTGGAGACAGGACAACTGGGGGACTGTTCTCCCTGACTGCAGCAAACACGTCCTGGCCATCCAGACAGCCACCCCAGCCAGACATGCCTGCAACAAACATAATGTAAATCTACAAGCTTCAGAGCAACATTATGTTAACGATATGTTACTTTACCATAAACCCGTGGACTCTGCAGTATGAGTACAAATACACAGAATTGGCTCTTGGCACTTAAAACACGCAGTAGTTGTGTGGGGGCCATTTCTTGTCACTGTTAGAGCTCACATCCCACATCTGTGATAGGGTGAAAAATACAGTGAATTTCAACGTTTGTGTGATTAAATGCAAAAATTGTGCTGAATCATATAAATACAATATACATATACAAATCACATAAATACAATATACAATAGGCACATTATGGGGCCTAATAAATTACTGCAATATAATTTATTTAGCCTATTAGGAATTCTTAATAATGTACCACATAATAACAGGCTACATTAAATTGCTTATGGAACAAAATGAAAGAATATCCCGCAGAGGCCTTCTTTTGAACGTGTAAATCTAACCACTGTGATTCAGTGCCACATTGTTTTGTTTGGTTTTTCGTTTATGTGATGTTCAAAAAAATATCCATCCCAAATTAAGGTTATAGCCTAGAGGTCAATCATAATGACACTGTCAGTCTATGGCTATTCTGTCTCAAATATAGCAATGCAATAGGCTACCTGTAAAAATTATTTTGCATAGGCTATATCCAAAATAGTCTAGTTTTACTGTACAATATCGTTACAACAACTAGTAGCAGACCAACCTGTCAAATCCTCAGCAGCTTTCTTCCAAACTCTCCCTTACCTCTCCTCCTCAAGTCACAAGTGGAAGACATAGGCTATAGCACTAGTAACTATCCCAGCAGAAGTATCTTGAGAAAAAGGGTCCTGGGTTCAGAAAGTCCCACCAAGAGTCCTGCATTCAGCCGAGCTAAACAGGTCTGCACCCCGGCACAGCGGCTTACGGCGTATGCATGTGTGTGTCTGCCCTGTGTCCTGTCCTCTGGTCCCATCCTGGTCCCGGGATAATCTGAGGCTCAGGCGGGGGCGGGGCTTACCTGTGCACAGCCGCACGCGAGCCAACCACAGCGCAGAAAATCACACTTTAATGTCAGGCCCGGGGTTCACGTGCGCGCAAGATTTGTCTCATGAAGACTAATCATTGACTGCAAACAGCGGCAAGTAGTGGCAACAAATCAAAAATGTTAAGTTGTCCATTCTAATTAGATACAATTAAGTATTATGTAATATATGTTGTCATTATATGGAGTAAACAAATGCGTTTATGTAGTGCTGGTAAATAGGCTAGCATCTTGAAATTGTTGCTGCTATAGCTAGTCTAAAGGAATTAATTCAATTAGCCTGGCGCCCTAACTAATGTTTCCTGACGAGGATTTAGCTATCAAGTCACAGCTGCTCACCTGCTCAAGATTAGCCTAGTTCTGCTAACACACTTGTCCTACCTGAAGAGGCTACATAACCTCACTTCACAGTGTCAGCCAGAAATGGTGGACATGTATAAAGAGCTAGACATATTTTCTCCATAAAATGCCCTTGGGTTTGATGGATCTGTTGTAAATTAGGAAAAACCACTGAGTTGACTGTTGTGGTTAGAGCTGACCACATGATGTCAGCAGAGTTCAGCTCAGGCATTAGAGCATTCTAACCACAGGGCCAACTCTACAATCTTTCTCAGAAACATTAGGCTGTTCACTATGATAAGATAGGCATTAAGTAAACCAATGATTCCCAACCTAGGTGTTTAGACCCCAAAGATTCTCAAGGGATGCCCACTGGGGTTCTTAAAAAGAGGACCAGACTGGATTGCTTGAATTCTAATGATGGAATGACATTGACACCGCTTAGATTATAACAATAAAATGTCACATAGCACTGCAGTTTAAGAACAGACAATGCACTATTATGATACATTTAAGAGGTTTATTCAATATTATGAACATGCAGCACTGAACAGTCATTATGCAAGGCATAGCAATGATTCTTCATTGTGGACTAAACCCACTAAGGACTGTGCCGAGCTTCTAAAAAGCAGTGAAAAGACTGCCAATGACTTGATGATGAAATGCTGGAATGGGCCTCTAGTGGTCTTTCATCTTTGTTTTCCAAGTGAGTTTCAGATACAACTTGACGACGCACACTTAATTACTTCTGAACCATGAGTGAGTCCTGCATTATCTTTCCCAGTTTGTATTGAGAGAACTCAACACCAGTAAATTAGAGAATACTTATTCTTCAAAATCTGTTATACTCAATGTGCTGACTGTAGTAGCAGATGTTGTAAAATACTTTTTGTTTCTGTAATTAATTTGTCAAATGTCTGTATTATTTAGTTTTATTATTTCCGTTTTATGATCCAGCAAACATGACCCTTAACAATAAAAACTTTATAGTTGTTGGACTTCACAGAAGAACTTTATTTTTGGAGCTCCCCAGAGCACCATGCTGGCCCCCATTTTGTTTTTATGACTATGGCCCGTTTAAATGTTTCTTCTTTTGGTTTGAACAAAGGAGTCTGGCTGGTTAATTAACTCCTGCAGTCCAGAAGTAGTTTAAGTGCTGTGCTTTCCAGTGGTGTGTTTATGGTAAAAAGCAAAAGAGGCAAAGCAAGCGGGCTGATTTTTGTGGGAAGGCTTTATAAAAAATCTCTGTTATTACGGGGTCACTTATCCTGGCATGAGTCATAGATGAGCCTTTGTTTGCCGCGTGGAGAGAGGGGGTCTTAATTAGAATCAGGTGCGGGGATGTGTCACGTGACGTCATTTGCTATGAGCTTCTAGCAGTAAACACATGCTCACACTTCAGTAATGTCCCTGCGTCATTGTGCATAATTTAGAGACTCCATTGTCCTCCGAGTGTCTGAAAGTCTTGAAGACAGTTGTGGGGGGCGCAGTCACTGAACGCTATGGGGATGCACACTGCTTGGACATTTTCCAACCCCGTGAAACATGACCACTTATGTTTACTCCCGCCCTTTTCGTGCACTTTTACGCACACGCACATTGGCCAAGTACGCGCACACATTTGACTGTATAAACAATAGTCTATGGGTCCTCTCCAGTCTCCGGACCAGGTTTTAGGCCATTACCAAAAACGAGGGTCCTTGGGAATCGCTAAGTAGTCTCCTAGGAGGGGATTCTTCTTTTTTCACAAAGGGGGAGGACGGGTTCTCTTGGGAAAGTTCCGCACACCTGAATGTTTGGAACCGTTTTGGTCTTGCTATGTTGAAAGTTTTGGGAAGTAGGCTGTGTGATATTTTCCCTTGGGGAGAATGTAAGTGACCGCGGAGAAGAGACGCCCTGCCTGCCTCCAGATGTTCCATGTACGGTGCGCGGCGCTTCTGCAAGAAGGGAATGGGAGAGAGCTCCGGGGAAGCGGGGAGACCATGCGCGGAGCCGTGACGGACCGGTCAACATAGCGGTGCATACTTCTGGATCCATAGCAGAGTAGGGATCAAACACTGCACAAAATGGATTGGGGGAAAGTGAGGACGCTGGTTGTGCTCAAGATACTCGTGTTTTTGACTGCTGCGTACAGCGTGACTGGAGAGCCACTACACGTTTATGACACAGGTAGAAAAATTATTTACAATAATCTATTCTCTACGAATTGGCAATGTTTGAAAATGTTGTGTTTTTATGTTCAGGGTGACTGTCAAATTGGCTAATACAACAAAACTAACAAGAAAATGTCATGCTGTTAGACCACTTGTGAAAACGTTCAATTCAAATAATCATACAAAATGATTATGACGCTGCTACGGTTTGTCCAACCTGGAGCAGCACACATGGCTCAGACTTTGTGTGTTCTTATTTAGTGTAAAAATAATTTGTTTTTTCATTTGAGGCTACTTATGAAGGCTATGCATTGAAAAATATCTCTTGTTAGCTAAAAATATGTAATTATTTATATTTGTATGTTAAATGTTGTGAGTTGATAAATTGTGTGTGATGTGTTTGCAGTGGTGGACCTGTTGGGATCTCTGAACCTGTCCCAACCCATCAGCGGTGTGTCCTGGGTGCAGACCACCACTGGAATATTGTACAAACTCCGCAGCAAAGCTCCACACCTCACTCTTCCTTCAGAATACTCCCAGTACATAAGCTCCAATGTTAGCAGCAGCCTGGGTGTGCTTCTAAAAGGTGTGCAAACCTCCAACTCTCCTGTCACACTGTTCTCTCTCTCCTCTGCATCCTCTCCCATTCTGCAAGTCACATCGTCCTCTAAAAGCCTGAGTGTGGAGTATTGGTCTTCAAGAGCAATGCAGAAGCTCTCCCGCCTTTTGTACCCCAGAAGAAATCCCTTCACTGCTCAGGATCTGGTTCAGCTTGCCATAAGTGTGGAGCCAGAGAAGGTTACCTTCTTTGTAGAATGTGAGAAAGCAGTGGTTGTACCAATAACAAATGATGACAGAATCAACTTAACATTGCCTGGAGATGTACTCATCACTGTGGGCAGCATGCCTGGGAGGAAACACAGCAAATTCACTGTGAGTACTGCATCAGCACTGTAAAACATGTTCTTAGTTTTTAGAAATTATTATTGTTAAATTTATTCATATCCAAATCTTGTGTTTTATGTAGGGCTATCTACTAGCTGCAGAACTCTCTTTAAAGGCTTATGAGAAGAGAGAATGGGACTGTGACAGTACAGGTAAGATAGTAACAAAGTAAGACAGTGTTTGCTCATTAATTAAAATTTGAAACTGTTATACAAATGGATATGGTTGGATTTTGAACTTTGACTTCTACTGTTGCAATTTTGCATTTTTCACTGTAATTACTAAAAACATAATTTTCTGCCTTAATATTAGGGCTGGGGTGATATGCTTTAGACATGATACAATACATACTATACAGTGATTTGATATTAGTAAATATTGCAATAACTTAATGTAATTTACTCTCTAAAGAATAACAAACATCACTGAAGCTCTAGTGTGTCTGTGAGGAGCTCTGTCAGATTCACCTCTAAGTTGTGGAGACACTGGCGGTCTTATCTGTATACATATAACATGCACTGTATTTAATTTTTTTTATTCTTACTATTTTCTTTTCAATACTATGAACCAGATATTACGTGTTCTTAATAAAGATGAAATTGAATTGAATTGAAACAATACAGAACAGTGTGAGCACAGAGTCATGAGCAGTGTCTCGCTCGAGTTGTGTTTCTAAGACTTGTTCAGTCTGACATATATTTGACATGTATAAGTACTCATACAAAAAATACTGCAATTTAACAAAACATTATTTTGGCAATGTATTATTATAGGTTTGGGCTCAGATCTGGTGGTTAAGAAGTATCTATAACAGTATGCATTTTATTCATAAGACGCACGGGTAAAGTCTGGCACAGCTGTTATTGCAAATAAAAACTTTAGTATTTTATTTTCTATGAATAGGATAAGTATAACTACATCTATAGACTCAAACTTTTTTCCTTTAGATTCTGATCAGATGAGGTCTGCCAATAGGACCACAAGTCACCAGAATTCCTCTTCCAGCAAGCCACAGAGAAAACCAAAAGCCACTAAAGATGTCCAGAATGAGCAGCAGCATAGAGGGGTGGTGCTGGGGCCTCCATCACCTCCACAGGGCTCAAAGACTGGTCCAAGCCAGGGAGATGCTGACAGACTCAAGACTATGGAGCTCAGACTGAGCCAGCTCACTCAAATGGTGGACATGATGAAAGCTCAGGTAGGCTGAAGCAAATTATAGTCCTCAACTGCCTAGCAATACATGAACAATATTTTGTGTACTCTACAAAAATATAAAGTAATTAATATAATTTCATAATACAGTATACAATATGAGCAGATTTATTATGAGATAATTTGAAGATTTAAAAAAAATGTTGAAGTAAAACAGCAGAAACAAATTGTCCAAACAGGGTAATAGAGTGATTTTACTGCAGTTTTGGTTGTAAGTCAATTTACATGTTTAATATTGGAATCATTTGTGAAATTTACAGTACTTTTCTGAT